TCAGGTACATGCCTTTGACCGGAATTGAACCTGGGACCTTTCAGTTCGCAGGCTGACACTCTATCCATTGAGCCAAACCGGTTTTGGCCCTCCATGCTATTTTAAAGGGTAAGAGAGCCTTCTTTTTTTTTCTTTTTCTTTTTTTTTATATCTGTGTAATATTCAATTATGTAAATGTACCACAGCTTTTTTTTATCCACTCATCTACTGATGGGCATTTGGGCTGTTTTCAAATCTTAGCTATTGTAAGTTGTGCTGCTACAAACATTGGGGTGTTTGGGGATTCTTAGGTTATATTCCTATAAGTAGGATCATAGGGTCAAATGCAGTCCCATTTTTAATTTTTTTTGAGGAAACTCCATACTGCCTTCCATATTGGCTGCACCATCTGCATTCCTACCAGCAACATACTAGGATTCCCTTTTCTCCACATTCTCGCCAGTTTTTGTGGTTTGGTGATTTTTTTTTTTTTTTTTTTTTTGGTTTTTTGATTTTTTTATGGTAGCCATTCTCACAGGTGTGAAGTGATACCTCATTGTTGCTGTTATTTTAAAATATATTTTATTGATTTTTTACAGAGGAAGGGAGAGGGATGGAGAGAAATATCATTCAGTTGCCTCCTGTACACCCCCCACTGGGGATGTACCTGCAACTAGGGTACATGCCCTTGACCGGAATTAAACCTGGGACCTTTCAGTCCGCAGACTGACGCTCTATCCAGGTTTGGCCTCATTGTTGTTTTAATTTGCATCTCTCTGATGATTAGTGACTGAGCATTTTTTTTTCATATGCCTCTTGGCCATCTGTATGTCCTCTTTGGAGTAGTGTCTATTTAGGTCACTTGCCCATTTTTTAATTGGATTGTCTACTTTTGTTAAGTTGTATGAGTTCTTTATATATTTTGGAAATTGATCCCTTATCAGATGTATCATTGGCAAATATGTTCCCCCATACAGTGGACTCCCTTTTCATTTTGTTGATACTTTCTTAAAAAAAAATTTAAAAATATATATATATATATATATCGATATATATATATATATATTATTGATTTCAGAGAGGAAGGGAGTAGAGATAGAAATATCAATGATGAGAAAGAACCATTGATCGGCTGCCTCCTGCATGCCCCCTATGGGGGATTGAGCCCACAACCCAGGCATATGCCCTTGACTGGAACTGAACCTGGGACCCTTTAATCTGTTGGCCAACGGTCTATCCACTGAGCCAAACCGGCTAGGGTCATTGATACTTTCAATGAGTGTCTTTCTGTGTGAGTGTCTTATAGGCAGCATGTGAGAGTTTTGATTTCTTCTCTATTCAACCACCCAACATGTTTTGATTGCAACATTTAACCCATTTATATTTACAGCGATCCCTGATAGATGTGTAGTTATTGCCATTTTATTATTCATATTTTTCATCTTTTTTAAAATTTTTCTTCAAGAAGTCCCTTCAACATTTGGTGATGATAAACTAATTTAGCATTTTCTTGTTTGGGAATGTAGTACTTTTCAAACTTTAGTGTGGGTACAAAATGTTGGGATGTGCCCCGGCAGTCAAGTGACTGAGTCATCCTGTGAACCAGGAGGTCACAGTTTGAATCCCTGTCAGGGCACATGCCCAGGTTTGGGGCTTGATCCCCAGTGTGGGGCGTGCAGGAGGCAGCTGACCAATGATTCTCTCTCATCATTGATGTTTCTCTCCCCCTCTCTTCTTCTCTAAAAACAATTTTTAAAAAAAATTTAAGAAGTTGGGATGCTTGGCAAAATGTAGATTTAGGGTTTGTCAATCTTGACATTATTGCCACTTTACATGGGAACATTTTTTGTTGGGCAGACTGCTGTGTGCATTGTAGGATGTTTAGCATCACCTTTGCCCCAAAGTTTGTGAAATGTCCCCAAGGGGCAAAAAGCACCCCCACCCTATCCTTTGAAAACCACTTGTCTTAAGATGAAGCCTAGAGACCTTCATTTCTAAAAAGAACATCTAGATGATTTTGACAAATGTGGTTGGTGGGCCAATCTTGAGAAACATTGAACTAAAGTCTTATGAGTTGAATTATGTCCCCTCTAAAATTCATATTAAGGTCTAACACCTCCCCCAACCCCCATCCCCACTCAAATATCTCCAAATGTGACCTTATTTGGAAACAGAGTTATTGTAAATTTACAAGATGAGGTCATCCTGGGTTAGAATATGATCGGTGTCCTTATGAAAAGGGAAAGCTTGGACAAAGGCACACAGGGCAAATGCCATGCAAAGTCTGGAGCTGTGCTGCACAAGCCAAAGAACGATCGGGCGCCAGGGGAGAGGCCTGGAACAGAGCCTTCCCTAGCACCTACAGGGAGCGCCAGCCTTGCATACACCTTGACCTCCTACTTCTGGCCTCCAGAACTGGGAGACAGTACATTTCTGTTGTTTAAACCAGTCAGTCTGTGATACTTTGTTGCAACAGCCCTCGCAAATGAATACATAAAGGATAAAATACAAGTCAGAGTTTAGAACTGGGGCAACGTGGGAAGCAGGATCAGAGAGGAAAATGGAAAGATTGCAAATTGGCACCAATTTCTTGATTATCTTCCTTAGTGCCTGACACACAAAAGAGTGGATCGTTTTTATTTTTTTAAGCACTCCCTAAGTATATATTGTCTAATTTCAATACCAAGAGCAAAGTCTCATAACTTGTTTACTTCATAAGGTTGAAATTACCTGCCATGTTCCACCCAAGGTTTCATCTGGATTATATACGTAGGAACTGGATAGAGAGGTTTAAGTCTGGAGTTGCCTGGAAGACAAATGGGATGTATGAATTATGCCATTATTCATAGAGAATGTGGTATGTGTCATTCCCTACAAGGCAGAGATGCACTGACTGGTCACACTGTAGCTTTAAGGGAAGTGTTGACTGCGCCAGGTCACAAAAGGCACTATTTAGAGTACAGCAAGTGGGACCATGTGTCCAGCAGGGCACACAGTCATGTGCTTACCCCAAGCAGCCAATTCATTCTCGCTCACTGGAGGTATGAAGCCCATGACACTGGAAGGACTTAAAAGTACTCTAGCAGCTTCATTTGCAATAAAAGGGAATATTGCTGCTATTTATCAAAAAGCAAGAGCCCAGTGACAAACATCGGTCTTTTTCTCTTTAAGAAAGAAGAATCGTTCTAATAGATATCTTAGTTCCTGTTTCCTCCCACAATTGCATTGGGGGGAGGGTAAAGGGGAGAGGGGGGGGAAAGAGGAAGAAAAGGAAACAAGTCTTGCCTGGAGATTTCAGAATAAAACATTGTAAAAAGATTCTGTTGCAGATAAAGGGCTGCAAAACACTTGTTTTTTCCTGCTTCTGTGAGCACAAACTAAATAGTTTATATTAAAGAATGGTAGGAAGCATTGACAAAGAGCGCCTAGAACTGTCTACAAACTCAGCTGAGTGATCAAATACAAACAAGGGGAGGCTTAGGTCCCTTGAATGCCCTTGGGAAATCAGGCTATGCTAACAGCACATTAACCTGAAGCCTGAGCCAAACCCTAAGCAAGTTTACCTCACCAAGCCCTCCAGCCCTTCCCTAAGTCACAGGAAAGTTGCTCTGAGGGCCAGCTCCCGGCACAGGCTCACCTCCTGGGGCAAGCCCGGGGGCTGGATAATTAAGCTTGGCATCGGGTCTGAAAGGCCCCAGAAGATTAGGATAGGGACTACCCCTTCTCAAGACTATGATAGCTCCCAAAGCGGCCGACCAGCAGAGAACTGACTCGGGGTCTGGGAGAGGAGCGCTGCGCTCAGACAAAACACACTTCAGGCGGAGAGGGGGCGGGGGGGCTTAGGATGGAGACGAAAAGTAGAAATATACAGGTTTTCATAGCAACACTGACACATTTACTGTGCCTTTCCGAGAGTTCTTTCTAAGTTACTGAATCTTCGCACCCCTTCTCTCAACGTGCCTCTTTCTCCTCACCATCGCCATTGCCTCCTCGCTGCACACCACTGCCCTCCGACAAAGGGGAGGGCCAGAGGCGGCTGCACCCAGACGCTGAGGCGCAGGGCGACCAGCTCTGGTCAAGGGCAGTGGCCTGGATGTACCTGGAGAGATCTAATCTACACACACACACACCACACACACACACACCTCCCCTACACACACACCACACACACACCACACACCACACACCACACACACACCACACACCACACACACACCACACACACCACACACCCCCCACACCCACCCCACCCCCACACCACACCCACCCCCACACCACACCCCCCACACCACACACCCCCCCCCCACACACACACACATCACACACACCCCAGACACACACCACACACACACACACACATCACACACACCCCAGACACACACCACACCACACACCACACACACACACACACACACACACACACACACACACACGCACACACACACACACCCTATCTCTCTGGGGACTGCGCTTCCAGTGGGGACCGAACAGGTGCAGGAGGCCGGAGGGAACCAGTCCTGGGACAGTCCTAAAGGGCGAATGAGGGTGAGGGTGAGGTTGCGGGTGCGGGGCGAGGGAAGGAGGGACCAGGGCGCAGCCAGGAGACGAGGCGAGGTGCCTCTCGCAGGGATCACCTTGCGCTGACCTACTTGAGAGGCGCTGGAAGGAACCAGAGCGCGCGAGCGGGAGGCAGGGCGGGGCGGGCGGGAGGCGGGGCCGTGGGTGGGGTGGGCGGGGCCGCTGGGCGGCATCTCCGAGGCGCTCGCCTGTGATTGGCGGACACTTTCCGAGCCCGAGCGTCCGCGGAGCGTGGGCGGCGGCGGCGGCGCACGTGGTGACGTGCGAGGGGGTGAGGCGCGCGGGAGCGGCGGCGGCGGCGGCAGTGTCTCCGGGACGCGCGTGGAGGTCGGTCCCTCGGAACCCGCTGCTGGGCGCAGTCTCTTCGCCTTCTGCTTCCGCGCGGCCGTGCCCGCCCGCCCGCCCGCGAGCGACGAGTCCCCGCGAGCGAGTCCTCGGCGGCGCTCCCCTCTCCCGGCAACCCCCGTGAGCCGATCGCTTCCCCCCCGTCCGCGGCCTCGAGGCGCTTTCCGTTGGGCCTGTAGCCGCCCGCTTCCAGCTGCTCCCCGGCGAAGCTCCAGAGATGAGTTTTTCCATCTCTTCCGAGATGAACCAGGTAGGAAAGCGCCGTTCCCGCCCTCGGCGGCGGAGGGGGAGGGCGCGGCCGGTATCGGAGCTGGGGGAGGGCGAGGGCGGCGGGAGAGGGCGGGAGGCGCGGAGCGGAGTCCAGATCCCGCGGGTTGGAGAGGAATCCCCAGCCGCCGCCGCCCTCGGAGGACGGGAGGCTGGCGCCGCGCGGCCCCGCGCTCCGGGCGCTGCCATGGTTGCTGGGCGGCGTTGGCGGCCGCGGGCGGGGGTGCCCGCAGCCTCGGGGAGTGCTGGGGCCGGGGGAGCTGGGCGGGAGGAACTCGGGGGCCTGGGGCCGGGCGGCCACGGGGCAGGGATGAGCTGCCTTCCGGAAGGAAGACGCGGGAATCTCGGTTCCCGCTGTCAGAACCGATGCCCAGCGTATGGGTCAGTCCGGGTCTGGACTCTCCAACCAAGAGATGTCCCAGGACCCGGCGCGGTGTGGGCGGGGAGTCGAGCCCTGCCCGCCTCGGTGCCTCCGGGGCCGGAGGGAGGTGGCATCGCGCCCCCGATCGCCGTGGGCCGCGGGGTCCTTTGTTCCCGCTCCACGTTGCCCGCTCTTCTTGCCAGGCGCGGGGAGCGAGGGGCGGGGGGAGGGAGGGAGGGAGCGGCTGTCCTGACGCGCTGGCGCTGAGTGACTGCGGGGCCGGCCAATGGCGGGCGGGGGTGTGCGGCGCCGGGCGCCTGGCCTCCCCGCCTGCGGACGGGCGCCCGCCCCGCGGAGCGCGGATCGAGGCCTCGGGCTGCAGGGCTGGCCGGTCCTTGGGGCGCTCGCCACTTTCTCCCCGTCCCCCCAAGAAATCGGTGGACAAGGGTGCTCTTTTTCGAGCCTTGTTCACATCTTGCCTTTGCTTATAAGCACTCAGGAAGGTTAATCCCGCAGTATCAGATTGAGAGATGAACGTTAGGGAAACTTGAACCACAAATACTTTAGAAATACATTTAAGTCGTGCACAGATCTTGGTGTGAAGACAGCTGACATTTGAAAAGGATAGCAAGTAGAAATCAGATGCCTAAAGCGTGCATTTTTTGTTTGTTTGTTTCCCAAAGTCTGGTAGTGATGGAGGACTAGAACACCCTGGCTTAAAGCTATTCTTTGAGGACTTGTGTGAGGTGGGGGGATGGTCTGCCCAGTAATAATAAAGAACAACTCCGGAAGCCTGGTAACATGGACAGCATGGACCAGACGGTATTTTCTGTTAGTAACTGTAGCTCTGGCGGTTGGTTAAAGGATAACAAAATACCAGTGCGGTTCGTAGGCAGAGTCCTGCTGAAATAAATCTCTGGCTTCAAGATGCCAAGGAGCATTTAGTTGTATTTGTTTGTACACCTGGAGATGAGGCAAACACTGACTATTTAGAATGCGATTGAGAAGAGGATCATTTATTGTCCCCTAGCAGGCTGCTTATCAGATGTCTGTAATCTGGTAGCTGGAGTTCTGTAAAATGGACTAGTGCCACCTACCAAAGAGAGACCCAGAATGGTTTTCCTTTGTATTTTCCTAATGGAGTGCATCTCTGGCTAATCGATATCAGTTTCTTAGTTTCTCACTGTTTTTTCTAACCCCCTCCCCCCCAAGCCAAAACATTCCAGGTTTTATTTAGCTTTAAATTGGTGGGGTTTTGGCCACTTAATTTGGGTTGGCATTTTGCATTCCTTGCTTGAAAGATATTTCAAATGGCAATTGAATATGGTTTAGCAAGTATTTTTTAATGAAAAAGTTTTCTTGTTAAGGAAATGTCTTAATTGTTATCACTACATCAAGTACCACTAAAAATAATTTCATTGACTTTTCAATAGTATGGCTGTATAGTCAAATCTACTGAAGGAATTCTTTTTTATTTAATATATTTTATTGATTTTTTTAAGCAGAGAGAAAGGGAGAAAGAGAGTTAGAAACATCGATAAATGAGAAGCATTCATCAGATGCCTCCTGCATACCCCAAAATGGACCCTGGGACCCTTCAGTCCACAGGCTGAAGCTCTATCCACTGAGCCAAATTGGTTAGGGCCTGAAGGAATTCTTAAAAGTTGGGGGTCCTCCGACCTTTTTGTGCTAGAGTGTAAATGGAGGAATTATGAATAAGGGAGTGATTTGTGGGTATTTGTTGTTGTTGTTAGAACCACAGAAAATACATGCTTAGTCTCACATCAATTTCAATTACCACCTTGTAAACGATTTCTGAACCTATACCTGTATCAGTATTCTCACACTTGTGGTATCAACCCTAATGCTCAGCAGGTATACCTCAGCATTATAATGTCCCAAAGCAAATTCCTCTCCTCCTCCTTTTCCTAACTTTCAGCATGCAGCAAACTAAAATGACTCTTAAACCTTTGGAATTCTAATTTGGATATTGATTTCGATAATGATGCCACATATCCACGCTAAAATACCCTTACTACCTTAGGATAAGCACTGGTATATATAGCTATACTTCATTTTCCTGCATCCATGTCTTTAGTGAAAGTGAATGTGAATTTTTGAAAGACTCGTTTTGCTTTAACCCCTTAACTTGAGGGTGGGTGAGAGTAGGGACATGAGGACAGCAGTTGATTCAAATAAGTTGGCTACATTAACTTAAATGTTAAGTGGATTTGGACTAGCTTTTAAAACCAAGTAAGGTTGTACTTACGAGTAGACATTAAAGTGATGAGGTTCTATTAAGACCTTAATGTACTATAATAGAAAACCAAGTACTAAATGTAGTGGGACTCTATTGCAAAACTAATAATACTGTACAAATTTATATTCCAAGAGTTGCTCCAAAAATTCTCTAATGTGTTGTTTCAAGAGGACTGAAGTGATTTTAACCCTTTGCACTCCGCTGTCCCCTCTCAGGGGACATGGGAATTCTAGCATATCACTCGGATGTCCCCTCGCAGATAATTAGTGATTACGGGGAATTGAGTTAATTCAACGCACGTGTCCGCCGCAAAGTAGCGTCAAGTAGCTGGTAGCCAATGTCCAGAATGGTTCGGAGTGCAAAGGGTTAATGATCTGATTTTGCTTTTAAAAATAAATTTAAAGTAGAACTTCCAATTTATTAAATATAAGTAGGTGCCATTTTATTCTTAGATTAAGACTAGTTTACAAATAGTGAATAAAATTTGTCAAAGTTTAGAATATTTATAAACCTCCGTATGTAATGTTTTTTGGTTTTTCAATGGGCACATTTTAATCATATCAACAGAATTTGCATGGCAGTTCCCCTTCCACTCTTGTTTTAAGAGCAGCTTATGAAATCGAAGTGAGAAGTTACCAACTGTGTCTGTAGATTGGCCCTCGATATACAAAAATTTTCTTAATTTGAGCTGCCTTGGCAAAAAATGTTGGATAGTTTCTTTAAGAAATAGTGTGTTTTCTATACATATAGAGAATTGTGTATCACTTGGAAAATATTTATTTTATTAGACCTGGTTTCTTAAGAAAAGCTGAACTAACTAATCTAGATGAAAGTGTAGAGCAGAGGAAATCAATATTACACAACAGTCCTAACTGAGTCAGAAGAATACTCAGGTTTCTGTGAAATAAGACCTAAGTTACACAGTTAGGTCATGTGGGATTGCACTGTCTCAGATCGTATATGTGTTGAATGTAACACAAAAGGTTTGTTGAATTAGAACTGGACCAGACTTTAGTGATTGTTTACCTTAACATAATTGCTAGATTTAGAATTGTAGGTTTGATTAATGTATAAGGAAAGTTTGGGTAATTTTAAGATGTCTTTTTAAAAAAATTACCCACATCTTTCAAGTAATTTTTAGTTCTGGTTTCCTGAATTAGTGGTGTAATAGCAGTTCAGGTGAATCTTTATATTTAAGTTTCTAGCTAAGTTGTTTTGGTAGAGGTTCTGCCTTCAAGGGACCTTGAATTAAGGAAGATAAGCAGGCATACAGAAACAGCCCAGAGAGGCCAGCTGGAAGATGAAAATACTTTTCAGAGGGTTCAGTATGTGGAGAAACTACTTCTTACCTGGGGGACTTGAAGGGGTTCTCTGGAGCTAAAATTTCACCTGGCAGAGGTTGGATTAAGGGTATTTCAAGAAGGTACAGAGGTTAGGAAGTACAGAGCACACTTTGGGGAACAGTATATATATCTGGTTTGTATAACATTGTGTACATATCTGGGAATGATGCCCAAGTTGCTTGCTGGCTGGTGAAAACAGAAAGATCACTTGTTTCTATGTTAAAAGGTGTTTTTTTGTTTTTGTTTTGTTTTTTAAAAAATTAACCAGAGTAGTTGCTGATTAAATGGAAAATGTTTGTAAATAGTCCCATTAAGTTAGTTATTTTCTCTCTGTGCCATTTACCGGTATGTCCAAATCTCTTCAAGATCACAACTTACTGTGTGATGTAATCTACCTAGATCAGTGACATCCTGAATATCTAAAATTTTTCATTGTTACAGATTATGATGCATGATTATCACAGAAGAAATTCATGTCTATAGCTTTTAAGGACTTAATTACATCATTTCCAAGCCTGATAGTTTTGGAATCACCATTAAAGCTTAAGACACCTCTGCCTTCACTTCAACCACCTATCTTCATACCTCAACGAAGTGCTGAGTTTTAACACTCCTTTGTCCTTGAATTATTTAAGACATCCCAGAAATACATTTCTTACCAGTATAGTAGGTAAGTGAATATTTATGCCCAATGCAGCATTAAGACATCTTGTTTTTCTGAACACTGTATGTACCAAGTACTCTAAAAGCCTTTCATAATTTTTATAAGGTGAAGCCAGTAATTGTAGTGAAAACACATCTATTTTTTCCTTGTATTTTGAATTTGAATAAGTTACTTCAAACTAAATCTCCTATTTTTGCCTTTTTTAAAAATTGATTTTTAGAGAGAGGGAGAGAAACATGGATATGAGAGTGAAACATAGATCAGCTGCCTCTTGCAGGACCCCTGCCAGGGTTTGAGCCTGCAACCTGGGCCTGTACTCTGACTAGAATACAACTGAGCCAGGGCCTATGACTGCTTTTTAATGATGCATCTTGTATAGCCCATTAGTTAATTGTTCACAGGAAAAGGTGAAGTGGAAACTTTAAAAGAACCAAAGTTTCGATCATGTATTCCTATAAGTGATTTAGGATATATGAAACCTGCATAGAGAACTGAATTTAAATTCATCTTAATATCAGTTTTTCTCGTTTGTGGGTAAAGGAATGACAGCACTTGAAAACCTACACATGAGGACCAACTCACAGCTGTCCAAGCTTTTAGTTTGTTTGTGGGATGGGTTTGAATAAGGCTGGGTTTACATTTCTTTCCCTTTACAATGACTGTGTTAATAGACATGGAAATGGCCAAAATTGCTGAGATATCCAGTACTGTATGAATCCTTAAAAAGATGACCAAAGTGTAGGAGTACAAAGACTTGAACATACAGTGCCAGTGTTTTTTCAGTAATGCTTTTGTATGATAAAATTTTTGTTGATAGGACAGAATTTGAAAATAAAGATTAACTGTATTACTCTTTTAAATATAAAAACCACCGTTTACAAGTAAAATAACCATTTCTTTTTTCCCTTCAGCCAAATTTATAAGGAAAAATGATTCCCAACGGATATTTAATGTTTGAAGATGAAAATTTCATTGAGTCTTCGGTTGCCAAATTAAATGCCCTGAGGAAAAGTGGGCAGTTCTGTGATGTTCGACTTCAGGTAGTTAAAACTTAATTGGAAACTTATAGAATTGGTCTTCATTACTAAAAGCCATAAGATCTTGGCTTTGCTTATTTTCTCATTCATAGGAGGCATTTAATGAAATAACTTTTTAAAAAAGTGATTAGAAATACATAGTCGACAATGTTTCCGATTTTAATTTATCATAATTTCAGGTCTGCGGCCATGAGATGTTAGCACACAGAGCGGTCCTGGCTTGCTGCAGTCCCTATTTATTTGAAATCTTCAATAGTGACGGTGATCCTCATAGAGTTTCTCATGTTAAGTTCGATGATCTCAATCCAGAAGCTGTTGAAGTCTTGTTGAATTATGCCTACACTGCACAGTAAGTTTTTTTTTTTAAGTCATTTGTATAATCAGGAAAATCCACGATTCTCTAGATCAGGGGGTGGGGAACGTCCGGCCTTGCGGCTGTAATAAGGCCCACAAAATCATTTGGTCTGGCCCTGCCAATGCAATAGAGGTGAGTTAATTAAATGTTCAACCAAATATAGCAGGCTAATTTTTAAGTTGATAATTTTGTATGGCCCACATATGATGTTATAAATATCCAAATGGCCTTTGGCGGAAAAAAGGTTCCCTAACCCTGCTCTAGGTTTAAATTCATCTGTTTTAAGACCTTGATATATGAAATGATAAAGACCTTTTTTTTTTTTTTAATAGGTTGAAAGCTGATAAGGAATTAGTAAAAGATGTTTATTCTGCAGCCAAAAAGCTGAAGATGGACCGAGTAAAGCAGGTAGAGTACCAGAAGTAATCCACAAAGACTACTGTTGTCAGGGAGTCTTATTATTAGAATCTATATCTTGTTATTTGTTTCTCCTCAAGAACTTGAGAGTCTCTTTTTTCCGCTACAGAACTGAATATGCTATTTTAACTGCAGGTGTAATAATGCAGCAAGGTCATACCTCCTCTCGGATAATATGGGCTAAAATCTTGTTTTTCCAACTGTCTTCTCTGGCAAGGTGTCTGTTAGTCTCTGCTAGCATGAATTAAAATATTGTTTTTCTCAGATTATTCACACAACCTTAATTTTTTGCTCATTTGTTTAAAAAAAAATATTGGGATGACGTTCTAACCAGTGGAGCTACCCAGTCAGAACAATTCTTTGTTCTTTTACTCTTCTTGGTTTTTTAAAAGTACTTCTAGAATTGAACACCATTGAGAAGTGCTTAATAATTCATATGAGGAAAAGCATTTAATCCCCTGGTGGGGGTCGGTAAACTGCAACCCTCCCGGCAGCTGCCTAGTTTTATCTAGTTTTAGCTGGAACATAGCTTTCAGATGATGTATGGCCACTTTCCACCTATAGTGACAGTTGAGTAGAAGTGAAATAAGAGGTAGTATGCCTACAATCCCTATCAGACCCTTCAAGATAGTTTCCTGATCCCTCCTCTATAGCACTTCTCTGCTTAAGAATCCTTCCCTGGCTTATAGCACATATCCCTCAGTTACCACTAGGTTTTCCCTAAGTAGTTGCTGTTTTTCCAAAAGTATTCCCTGATTATCTTTTGCTCCAGTCAAACTAAATTGCAGCATCTACTCTATTTGCTATTTGCATTCTATACCATCATATGTCCTGAAGAGCCAAATTCAGATATTGCCTTCATGAAGACTTGTCTCATTATTCTAGTTGAAAATTGTACTTGTCTTAACATTTCATATGCATTATCATAGCATTTGTTTAGTGCTGTTTTCCTTACATAGTTTACACATTGTAAGGCATTCTTTACTGTTCATTATTTGTTTAGTATACATTGTTTCTTCCTACTGTTAAACTTGTTCTAGTATGCCAGTGATTTTTTATTTGTCTTTATATCTGTACATAATGCTTATTCATTGAGTATGAAATGCCTGTTAAATAAAATGTATGTAAATACTAGCACTCTTGTTTTCCAAGGTTTGTGGCGATTACTTACTGTCTCGAATGGATGTTACCAGCTGCATTTCCTACCGTAATTTTGCAAGTTGTATGGGAGACTCCCGTTTGTTGAATAAGGTTGATGCTTATATTCAAGAGCATTTGTTACAAATTTCTGAAGAGGAAGAGTTTCTTAAACTTCCACGGCTAAAGGTAAGGAGTAAAATCTACAAAGATATATATACTACTTAGCTCCAGGCAGGGAATCTTTGTGTTTCAAGAAAGTGAGTGTTGGTTATGAAAAAGTACATTGAAATTATATTTTTCCCAGTGTAATCATTTTCTGCCAGTTTGTTTACTTTGTTTTCTTGACTACTTAATTCTAATTCACAAGTTAGAGTAAATGCATGGAATGCAATGGGGCATCTTTATTGACAGCTTTATTATGAAATTGAGAATTAAGCTGAAAATTGGAGGGTGAACACTGATCCATGTGTTGTTGTGTGTTTTTTCCAAATCCAGTTGGAGGTAATGCTTGAAGATAATGTTTGCTTGCCCAGCAATGGCAAATTGTATACAAAGGTAATCAACTGGGTGCAGCGTAGCATCTGGGAGAATGGAGACAGTCTGGAAGAGCTGATGGAAGAGGTTAGTTTTAAAGTAAATGGGATTCAACAATTCTTAAAAATTATTTGCTATAACATGAAGGATTCCCTTTCACTTTTATTTTATAACCATGACCCTAAAGAATTTAAATTTTGCTATAGGTACCCCTAAGCTGAGAAACAGGGGGGGTGTCCAGGTGAGCTGAATGAACTGTTCAGTTTGGTCTTCTGCTTTTCTTTTTTTTCTTTTTTTTAAATTTCTTTGCTTATTATGTGCCATTAACTTTCTTTAAAGTAGCATGTAATTTGCTTTAGAAATGGGAGGTGGTACACTGAAATTTTCTGTAGATTCTTAATTTTTCTTCACAGGTTTTTGCTTTAAAAATGACAAGTAGGTAAAAGCTTCTAATGGTTGTTCCTCCCCGTTGATTTATCTCCCCATAGGTTTATTAACAAAACTAGGATACCCAAGACTGAAGAAACAAGAAGAAACCTCAAGTGTATTGACACGTAAAGAAGCAGCAGTCCTGCCCCAGTTCTCCTAAGAAAAATCCGCTGTGGGCAGAGAACGATGATGATTTAATGGTGTTTACTCCTTTACAGGATTCTTATCTTTGAAGCTTTGTGTTTTTCAATGGTGTTGTTCATACATAGTCACTCAACTTTGGCGTTTAAAAACCAAGCAAAAAAGAAAAATTAATGGAAAAATAGTGGGAATTAAAATAGGCAGGTGGAACAATGGAGTGACTTTGAGTTTATCCTTCCACTTAAGCCTTTCAGGTTCACTAATGGCTTATCAAATCTGTTAGACCTTTAAAAACACTGTTATGATGTTCTGAAAAGGCTAACAGGTGATCTTTAAGTTAATGGTTTTCCATTTGAAAGTCAGATGCAATTGCTATGTATTTGCATCTGTTAAAGGAAGTACTCTACAGTTTGAATTTTTGAATTTGTTTTTTTTTTTTTTTTACATTGCCTACAGGACAGAAATATATTTATGCAAATTAGACCACTTATCCTCAGAGGTGTAAACCATATTCAGTATTTTATTGCAAATATGTATACTCTTTAAGACCTTGTATATTGTACTAGTGCTTTTTTTCTTAATGCTATATAATAGAAGCTATGAAAAAAAAATGAAGATTTCTTTCATGCCAATCAAGCCAAGGAGCCTTCAGCCAGGATTAGAAGATTCTGTATTTTTTTTTTAAAGATTTTACAACCATGACATGTATTTTCTTTGCTTCGGGATCCTGCCAGAGTAAGATGTCAAGAAGCTCAAGAAGCACACTGGAGGTTACCTTGAGGCGGTTGAGTGATCTGCGGACTAGAGGTGTAGCCATGGAGACAGTAGCCACATGGGTGTTCTGTTGCTGTTTTGCAGGTTCAAACCTTGTACTACTCAGCTGATCACAAGCTGCTTGATGGGAACCTACTAGATGGACAGGCTGAGGTGTTTGGCAGTGATGATGACCACATTCAGTTTGTGCAGGTACACATTGCACATCTGAGGTAACCTCAGGTTGAAATTTGATTAGAGCATTTTATATTATATGAAATTTTCCTTTAATAAAGGAAAGTGGAAGAATTTCATTGGTATGACTGGACAGAAACATTTCTGGGAGAAAAGCATACCTTCAAGTTACTACCATTTTTGCCACATAAAAAAAGAATTCAATTAACTCAACAAATTAGGAAACCCCATTTAGCATTTTTCTCAATAACATTTAAAAATAGTAAGAAAAATTGCAAATAAGATGAAACAATATAGAAGTTACTTGGTTAGAAAAATAGTTGTTTGCAACAGGAATGACTATTAAATAGACCCAATTAAAAAAAAAATTCTTAGATGTAAACTTTTTAAGTTTATGAACAAATAACAGAGAAACTGTACAAATCCTAAGTATCACATAGTAATGAACTCACAAGTTTAAATACTACTCAGGTCAAGAAGAAAAGATTTCTAGTGCTCTACGAGTCTTCCTCCTACCCCTCTGGATCACTACACTACCCTCAAAGGAAACCACTATCCTAACTTCTGAAACAACAGGCTAGTTGGCCTATGTTTGACGTTTACATACCTATAGTATGTATTCCTCTTTTGGCCTTCAGCTCAACATTGTATTTATGAGGGATACAGATCCAGGTGTAACCTGTATGATGGTGATGTTAGGTGTGTGTTAATAATGGCTGAATACCTTTATTTTCAGAAAAAGTTTTTGGGTGTGAACATTTTCCAAAAGTACTCTTTGAATAAACAAAGGCTGGATGCCTGTGTGGCAGGCCCTGTGTTAGATATGGGGACATAAAAATGTGTTAAGAGACTGTTTTTACTTGTAGGAACTTATAGGAATAAGTAAAACAATACAGACGTTTAAGACTTATCTAATTTAAAGTATAAAAGTAGGGCTTAGTGGAGTCAAGAGGAGAGAAACGGGAAATTTCACAAAAGAGGCAATATTGGAGCAGTCAGGATTAGAAGAGTTTGCATAGCAGATAGAAGTGTGTCAGATAGCAAAGAGTCTCCAAGGATGATACACTTGGAATTGCAGGTCACAAGATTGGAAATGTAGGTAAATGTCACCTGTATGGGGCTTATATTTTATCCTATAAGTAGTGGGAAACTTTCAGAGAATTTTAGACAAGGGAGTAAAATTATATGAACAGCAGATGCATTTCACCACAGTAGAGGGGTGGGTTAAATTATGGTATTTCTATAGGCCAAAGATATGTCTATAAATCATGTTTTTAGACAAATGTTTAACTATCAGGTGGTAGCCTGTGGATTGTGGGATTCCAGCTGATTTGTGTTTTTTGTGACTTTACAAAATGGTTGCATTAAACTTATTTTTATAACCAGGTACAGAAAGTAGATTAGAGCTCATGAGACCAGTTTGTATAGGCACGAAGGAAGAAGGATGGACTCTAGACATTCATGGTTGGAAAGGTTGAGACTGTAGTACTTCTTAAAGATTGTTCAGATTAGGAAAATTAAGAAAATTTGAGAGTGAGCGGGATTCTGACACTTGACTCCTTAGGAGGTAGTGCCATGAATCGAAATCGTGAAGAAAAAAGATGAAGGGACACACTGGGCTTCAGGAATAGGGACAGAAGTTGAGTAGCACAATCAGAATCACATAGTGTGGTAAAGTCTGGTTAACTCAGGAGTAGGAATTTTGAAGGAGGACCAAAGTGTCTGCTGTGGAAGTCATGAAAGAGGTCAGGGGTCTCTCTCCTATAATACATTACTTTTAGGAAACCACTTATAGTAACCTTGAGTGGATTTAATTTCCAGAGTATTAAGGTTAAGAAACGCTTAGCTTGAGAGGCTGGAAAGGAAAAAATCCCCAGAGGCCACCTCTTGGGCAGAGAGAGGCAAAGAAAGCATGGGCCAGTGAGTGCGCTGGGTGGTGAAATAGATGTGGGAAAGTCTGAAGATAGGAGGAATTATGTTTGAAAATGTTCCAGACGGAACATAAAGGTGTTAGCCAGCATTTCTGTATCAGGAATGTTGGTTCCAGAACACCAGCAGTCTTCATTGTTACTGTGCTTTCTCTCACATTGGTTTTCTCTCCGTATGTAAGAGCAGTTTTCTCAGTGTGATAAAAGCTATTAATGTGAGCAAGGTCAATTTGTGATTCTTTGGATCCCTTCTTCCCAGGTTGGGTGGGGTTTTATGTGCCTTGTAATTCTCGTAGCAGAGTGCAGTCTGTCATAGCAGAATATACTTAGAATTCCTAATCTTTACTTTGTTATTGCTTTATGCAATGCATCTTTAAATTTGAGTATTTTTATTTATAAAATGGGTAGGTAGTATTGCTCTCATTGGATTAAAAGAGATGTGAAAAAGTGCCTAATAATACCTAAGTATATAATAAATGTCCATATGGAATTTAATAACCATTTACATGGTACATTTTCTACCCTTTCTCAAAATAGTCTACACATGCTGTAACCACACCTGCTGCAGGGCACAGACCAAACTTCAGTAGTTTTTTGTTTTTTTTAACAGCTTTAAGTAGCTCCACAATCTTTTTTTTTTTTTCTATTGTTACATGGATTTTTGCTTCCAATAGAAATAGCAATTTCCATTAAAAATTTTACCTGCCATGGGACTCTGACCCTGGGGACCAAAATAAGTGGATAGGCAGCGTTGGCCAGGCACTGAGGGTGTAGGTGGTACCTGTTCACTTGGCAGCTCCTCTCAGGGTACTTAGTGTTGATGTTTCCAAGTCTGTGATCATGTTGTTTCGAAGTGTCATAGGCTAAAGTAACTGGAAGAAAATCATCAAAGGGAACTCACACATGAGAACACAGTGTAATTCTCCTACTATCATTTGAAAACTTGCAACTTTTTCCATTTCTCCCTTCTTTAGTGTTCCTTGGTATTCTACTTCAGAGAATGGTTGGCTCTTTTAGTATTATTTCATTTCTGATTACTATTTTTTATGTTTTGATGTAGTCTTATTTGTCCGAAAAATGCTCTATAATACCTATACGTTAGTCCTAAAGAAATATACTATTAGGTGTTTCTTGTATTTACCACTTTTTTTTCCTGTAAAATACTTTCAGGGAGACTGAATGGATATTATTTATGTCTGCTCACTTTTTGCTGGCATTATGTGAACATACCAGTACATATGATTTATTTAGGTGTGACAGTTTCATGAAGACAGTGGGTTAATGTACTCTCAGTTAATCCATGCCATTTTAAATTTATATAAATTAGTCTACTTCTTTTAGACTATTCTGTACTTAAGAATAAAGAGTATGTGGGTTATGGGGTGGAGGACTCCCTTTTTTCCCCCTGCATTAGGAATTGATACTTGACCCACAAAATATTTCTTAATTGTTTTAATTTTGCTTTTTCTAACCAGGCAATCTGTGAAGTGTAGTTATTAAGAGATGGAAACATGCCTGTAATTTGTGCCAGTTGGAAATGTTGCTCTGTGTTAAATTTAGTGTTTTTTCAGTGTTGTGAAATATAGCTCAGCAACACAGGTATACCAGGTATGGTCTTTGGCTAGGTTTCTGTAGCTGCCTTTTGATTTTGCAGAAAAAGCCACCACGTGAGAATGGCCATAAGCCGATAAATAGCAGTTCCACTGGATGTCTCCCTTCTCCAAATGCCCCGGTACAAAGTCCTAAGCATGAGTGGAAAATCATTGCTTCAGAAAAGACTTCAAGTAAGTGCATTATACTTATAGTGTCTGAAATGTAATTATTTTAAGGAGTGGAACCATTTTTTAGTACTTTCAAATTGAGAAAAAGCTCAGAAGCAACTAAATTTGGAATACAATAGCAGATTGTTCCTGTCTGGAATCTGGAGTCTGATTCAGGATTGTATAGCAGCCAAATCCTATATAATTCAAGGGTAATATGCAAATTCACCCTAACAGTGGAACAACTGGTCACTGGGGGAAGAGGGGAGCAGATGCTCAATGCAGGAGTTGCCCCCTGGTGGTCAGTGAGCTTCCACAGAGGAAGCACCACTCAGCTAGAAGCCAGCTCATGGCTGGCCAGTGTAGTGGGGGTGGCAGGGACCTCTCCTACCTCCACAGCAGCACTAAGTATGTGTGGCTGTTGACTTAGGCCTGCTCCCCAGGAGATCTGGCCTAAGTCAGCAGGTGGACATCTCCCGAGGGCTCCCGGGTTGCCAGAGGGATGTCTGACTGCCAGCTTAGGCCCAGTTCCCTGAGGAGCAGGCCTAAGCTATCAATTGCACACCACCCCCCACCCCCCTGAAGGGTCCCAGACTGTGAGAGGGTGCAGGCCAGGCTGAGAGACACCCCTGACTGCATGAATTTTCATACACCGGACCTCTAGTGTAATAATAATTGCATCTTAAACATTGAATTCTTGTGCTTTAACAGATAACACTTACTTGTGCCTGGCTGTGCTGGATGGTGTATTCTGTGTCATTTTCCTTCACGGGCGAAACAGCCCACAAAGCTCACCAACAAGTACTCCAAAACTAACTAAAAGTTTAAGCTTTGAGATGCAGCCTGATGAGCTGATAGAAAAGCCCATGTCGCCTATGCATTATGCACGGTCTGGCCTGGGTACGGCGGAGCTGAATGGCAAACTCATAGCTGCAGGTAAGACAAGGAGGGTGATTTCTTATGGGGGACCTCCAGCCAAATCTCCAGTGGGGATTTTACACTTTGTGACATGCAAACTTTGGAAGAGAGGGTTTAATATACCTTCTTCCTTGGCACTCCACTTTACCACACTGTAAGACAACAAAGAAATACTGTTGTACTGTCTAACCTTTGACATAGTAGTCTGATTCTTAAAAAACACTATACAGTGGGTAAATTGCTCTCTCCTAATTTTCAGGGAAACACCAAGCCATTTAGTCATAATGATACTGTTGTTATTAAGGTGTTTATAAGCGCTTAAAAAAGAAACATGATTCCTGGGGCCTTATAAGTTTGTGGGTAAAAATTATTTTTCTCACTGTGCTGATTACTTTTAAGCATTCTAGACCAGAAACCCTCATCTGGTTTAATCCTGTAAATGTAAATCTTTGTGGTTCTTTTACCAGGGGGCTATAACAGAGAGGAATGCCTTCGAACAGTTGAATGCTACGATCCACATACAGATCATTGGTCCTTCCTTGCTCCCATGAGAACACCAAGAGCCCGATTTCAAATGGCTGTACTGATGGTCAGTGCGTTATGTTTCAGGAAGAAGCAATCCGTATTTGGCTTTTTCTCGTAACTTGAGATGGCAGAAATGCTAATCTCTCACTTTTGGTCTAGGGCCAGCTTTATGTGGTTGGTGGATCAAATGGCCACTCGGATGACCTGAGTTGTGGAGAGATGTATGATCCAAACATAGATGACTGGATTCCTGTTCCAGAATTGAGAACTAACCGTTGTAATGCAGGTAATAACACTTTCTATTAAGATAGTGTTGCCAAAACCAGTTTGGCTCAGTGGATAGAGCGTTGGTCTGCTGACTGAAGGGTCCTGGGTTCAATTCTGGTCAAGGACATGTACCTTGGTTGCAGGCACATCCCCAGTAGGGGGTGTGCAGGAGGCAGCTGATCGATGATTCTCTCTCATCGAAGTTTCTAACTCTCTATCCCTTTCTCTTCCTCTCTGTAAAAAAATCAATAAAAAATATATTTTTAAAAAGATAGTGTTTAAATGTGACAATTTATCAATGTGTAACCTTATTTTATACTCACATAGGAGTGTGTGCTCTGAATGGGAAATTATACATCCTTGGTGGCTCTGATCCATATGGTCAGAAAGGGCTGAAAAACTGTGAAGTTTTTGATCCTGTAACAAAATCATGGACAAGCTGTGCTCCTCTAAACATTCGTAAGTTCACTTTTCCCCCTTGAAGTTGTTGTGTTTTTGTTTTGGGGTGTTTTTTTTTTTTTGCCCCTAAAAAGACCTCCGAATCAATAGTATGTGTAGTACACACTTAAGAGTTTTGGGAGATAGAACAATAATTTTGGTTTGACTTGATTTTATAGGTAGACATCAGTCTGCAGTCTGTGAGCTTGGTGGTTATTTGTACATAATTGGAGGTGCAGAGTCTTGGAATTGCCTGAACACTGTAGAACGTTACAATCCTGAAAATAACACCTGGACTTTAATTGCACCCATGAATGTGGCTCGGAGAGGAGCTGGGGTAGCTGTTCTGGACGGTGAGTGTTAGGGTTTGGAGAAGCGAGGAATAGGTAATGGCAAAGGTTTGTACTAAAATTCTAAGAATGTCAGTGATAACCATATGATTGTATAATTAAGAATTCAGATGCTGCCATCTTTTCTGATGCAGTGGGGATTGGTGATTTCTTTTTTAGAAATACCTTTATCAGAAACTCAGTACTTGATATAATGTAAATATATCACTTCGTTAATCTTTTGATAAGTTCACTGAGTTGTCATTTTCTTTCATAAACCATACTCAAAATGCATCATTTTGGAATTAAGGGTTTACTTCTTTAGAGCAAGAATTTTAAAGTATTTGATTTGCAAATCATCTAGACCTAGTTATTTTTCTAATTGTCTACTTGATACCTAATTGGAAGTAAAACTTCTAGACTATTTTTAAGAAGTCTTTCCAAGGCATTAAACTTTTTTTATCCAAACACAGCTTTCTTTTCACATGCAGTATATTTACTTAAAATTATAATTTTACATTGTTTTTGGAACAAAAGCAGAATATTAATAAGCTTGGGCCTCAGCTGGTGAAAGTATGGTCTGTAGCCTCTAGCTTACTATGGGCTATGGGCCTTCTCAGTTGTTTTACAAGTACAGCAAGCCCTTCAATAACGTTACTTTAAAACATTGATGAGATGCCATAGGAACTCAACTCTTGTTTATAGCCTATGGTAAAATTAGTTTTGTTAAATGTCTTTCACTTAAAGTCCTAAAACCTATTGAGAACACTAATTGAGGACTTAATTGTATATGGGTACAGGTAGGAATGATCAATTTGAAAACCTGTAATTAAAAAATTTTTAAGTAACAGAACCTAATGCTAACATTTTGTTTGAAAATGTTAACTGCTCTGCATGTATATTTGAAAAGTTGTAAGTCATAACTCCCAACTTTGTTTCCAAGAAGACATTTATCAAAATCATTTTAATATAATCGGAAAGAGTTCAGTTTTCAGAAATCTGCTTTTCAAGTTTTAGTTGTTACACACTAGACCAGTGGTCAGGAAACTGCAGCTCGCAAGCCACATGCAGCTCTTTGACCCCTTGAGTGTGGCTCTTCCACAAAATGCTACGGCCTGGGCCAATCTATTTTAAAGAAGTGGTGTTAGAAGAAGTTTAAGTTTAAAGAATTTGGTTCTCAAAAGACATTTCAATCATCATACTGTTGATATTTGGCTCTGTTGATTAATGAGTTTGCTGACCACTGCACTAGACAATACAAAAGTTCCAGTGCACAGAACTATTTTGGTTTGCCACTTAACTAGCTGTGTCTTTTGGCAAGTTGTCCAACTTCTTTGTGCCTTGTTTCATCTGTGAAATGGCAATAATAGCAACTACCACATAGAATTGTGAGAATTGCACTTTAGTTAGATGTTGCCCTCCCCTTAAATTGCCTAAGTTCCATGTGCAGGTGGTTTTTATTGATTTTATTCTATTTATATCCCCCACCTCTAGAGAGTGCCTCTCACCCTAGTGGGCATCCTGTATAATAAAAGTCTAATATGCCAAGTGTCTGGTTGTTCATTCAACCAATCAAAGCGTAACATGTTAATGATATACTAAGGCTGCTCAACCACTCACTAGGATGTGCACTGACCACCAGGGAGCAGACTCTCCTACTGGTGGGTTAGCTTGCTGCTGGGAGCCAGCCTATGTAAGACGGGTCAGACATGCCATGGAGCCCCTCTGCAATCCCTCCCCTAGCCAACCTCCTGTATCCCTTCCTGCCCCAGTCATGCACCAGTGGGGTCCCTCAGCCTGGCCTGCACCCTCAGGCAATCCAGGATCCCTTGGATATGTTGAAGAGCCGGTTACCACCAGATCCCGCAGGCCAGGCTAAGGGACCCCACTGGTGCACAAATTCATGTTCCAGATCTCTAGTTTAATAAGTATTTCTGACAGAATGAAGAGGCTTTTCTAAAACCACTGATTTTAGCAGATTTTAGGATTCTCTCTTCATCTAGATTTATCTATCTCATTTCTCTTTTAGGAAAACTATTTGTAGGTGGTGGCTTTGATGGTTCTCACGCCATCAGCTGTGTGGAGATGTATGATCCAACTAGAAATGAATGGAAGATGATTGGAAACATGACTTCAGCAAGGAGCAATGCTGGGATTGCATCTGTAGGGAACACCATCTATGCAGTGGGAGGATTTGATGGCAATGAATTTCTGAATACCGTAGAAGTCTATAACCTTGAGTCAAATGAGTGGAGCCCCTATACAAAGATTTTTCAGTTTTAACAAATTTAAGATTCTTTCAAACTAACAGGCTTAGTGATGTAATTGTGTTTAGTAGAGGTACATTTGTGAATAAGGAGGGTGGGTGGGTCTAGAGGTTGCTAACAGCAACACAAAGCTTTTGCATATTGCATATTATTAAACATGCTGTACATACTTTTTGTGTTATTGGGAAAGGAATGCAAAGTTGAAGATCTGTTTTGTGTATTTTTAGGACTACTTTGGTTATTTTACTTTTTGGAAGTTGTTACTGTAAAAGAATAAACCAAGAATTGATTGGGCACATCATTTCAAGAAGTCCCCTCTCCACATTTGTTTTGCCAATTTGCACATTGAATTACTTTCCTTAAATGTGTATTAGGGCAAGAGGGGGTAGAGTATTAAGATGTAGGCATTGGGTTTTTTAAGGGCCCTTTTACAATAACTGGAACCCTCTATAACAAAAGATACTTATTTAACTAGATGGCAATGACTTTTTTTTATTAAAAGAAAGCTGACATGCCTACCAAGATTTAATCTTATGTGATTGCCTTATATGACTTTTATATCAGCAAAGTGCTTTTCCTGTTGAAGTTGAATGTGGCATAATTCAAATTACTGAAGCAGAATGGTAGACTTAAAGTATGCAGAAGGAGGTGTTTGTTTTACACACCAGAATGCAAAGTTCAAAGCTTTTGCTTCAGTCACAATTTCTTTGAGAATGAAGTACCAATGTTTATTTGAATGGAGCTGCTGAACAGTAACATAGCTGTAATTTTTATTTGAAACAGATTTTAAATATTACTTTTTGAGGGTATTTCATATAGCAAGCCACTTAATATATAATAGTAAAGAACGGTGACGTATTTTATAAGAAATCCCTGTTTTTATCATTAACAAAATAATCCCAAATGGCAGCCCTTGATTTGTATAAATAATTTAAATTGTATTGGATTTATGAATGCAGCATTTATTAGAACTATGTTTTTGTTCAGTTTTTCTATTCATATGGATAAATATTGGTTGGGTGACTTGGTATCTAGTATGTAATGCTGTACATATAACTTATGGTGCCAAAATTAGCACATCCAATTGCCTGTTGTGATGCAGACATTAAAGGTACTTTGCAGGAAATCTTTGCACCATGGGATTAATATCCAAATGTTGTTTGAGTTCTCATTCATTACTGAAAGTCCTGGGGAAACTTTTTTCCAATAGCAATGAGCTTAAAGTATTTGGAAAAAATATTCACCTGTCATCTTACATCTGAAATAAGGATTGATGTAAGGTTTTAAGGTTTCTTCTCTCAGAGAAACTAAACACTACATTAAGCTAGTGTTTTCTAAACAAAAGAGGCACACAGGAATCTAATGAGCCAGCTGGGACAAGATGACTATCCAGTGGTAGCTATTCTGGGTTAGGAAGAAAATGAGTATTTTCTGTACTTTTCACTGGCACTTTAACTTTCCCTGTTATCCATCACACAAAACCATCAGGAAAAGAAGTCAGTTCAGTTCACCTGGTGGCTAGTTCCTGACTATATCTATTGTTGGTTGTTCTGAACTAAAACTCGGTTGGCAAATTTGAGCCTAATATGATAATTTCTTTTTTTTAATAACTTTATATGTTCTATTTAACACAGGAAAATCAAGTTTAAGCAGCAAAATCCTTGAAATTCTCAGTTCCTAACACTTAAATGCAAATAATATGAGACTACTTTGGGTCAAAGTTTCCCTCTATTACCATTGATGCCAAATAGGTATTCTGGTGGCTAAAATATATTTTTTAAATATGTTTTGAATATAAGAAGCTTCCAATTATTTTAAAGTATGGGTTTTTGAGTGATTTAGAAATAATAACTAGGTTGCAGTTCATTGTCATAATGCATAAAATATTCTAGGCCCCTCATACAATAGCAAAACTATAAAATACCTATTTGAATTAAAACTATTTATTATACCTCATATACCTCAGGCATGATTTTTTTGGTATGACTTGATTTTCAGCTTGTATGCCATAAAAGCTTTTTCCTGTTACTCAACATGTTTTAGAATTTCTTACATAATCATATTTTTTTAGGAGAAGCCCCTGGATTTGGGAACATGATATAGTGCTAGAATCCTTGCTTAATACCTATAATCTCTCTGGACCTCAGATTCTTCAAGTTGAATTAGGCAAAAGAAGAAGTATGATTTAGGATATTTTTTTGCAACTCCAGGGTTACCTTTAGAAAAGTATGAGTCACAGCCCACCCATTGTTGCTCAGTGGTTGAGCATTAACCTATGAACCAAGATGTCACAATTCGATTCCTGGTCTGGGCACATGCCCAAGCTGTGGGCTCAATCCCCAGTAAGGGGCGTGCTGGGGACAGCCTATCATTGATTCTCTCATCATTGATGTTTCCCTTCCTCTGAAATCAATAAATATTTTTTAAAAAAGAAAGAAACGTATGAGCCATAGAAAACTATAGTGTCAGGCATTTATTTGTATCCTATTGTTCCAGAAAAGGATTTGAGTCTTTTTACTGAAACATAAGATAAAAGGTAAATTAACTGGGTGTAAAAGAGAACAAAAAGCAAACACCAACACATGAATCTTCAATAATATGGCCAAGCCACAAATTTGGTCCCATAAACAGGAGACTTGTTAAATAAGTTAAATCATCCATGGGAAAGGATATCCTTCCATTTGCTACAACATGGATGGACCTTGAGCACATTCTGTTAAGATAGGTCAGAGAAAGACAAACATTGTATGATAGCATTTACATGTGGAATCTAAAAAAGTTTAACCTGTAGAAACCAGTAAAATGGTGATTAGCAGGAGGTTGGGCAGGAGTGGAATAAGAGTGATGTTATGTTTGAGCATACAAATTTGGCAAGAAGTAGTAAATAAGCCATAAAGATCTAATGTACAGTATAATGAATATAGATAATATAAATTATGCAATATGATAAATATAACTACATAGCAATCATTACAATGTATAAATATCAACATAATACTGTTCCTTAAACTTATACATTTACATATCAAATTTACTCTGAAAATCAAAGAACGTTAAATCATCTGTAGGTGAAAAAGAAATAACGTGAAGCACCAATATCCTTCATAATCCTTTCTGAAGACTTAAAAGTGATGCATTAATCAACAAGTAGAGTTTATAGAGAGGGATATATCCATGCATGTCACAGATTCTTGAACTTAATAGCACATGGCCAACAAAACATTTAAACTTAATTATTAATAGCTTCATCACTTATTGGAGGTTAAATAAGACTGAGAAGCAAAAGCTCAATTACCAAACTAGGTATGTACAAGATTGGTATCTTGTGGAAACAATTAAAAGGACATACATTTGAACAGGTGGCTAAGCGAGTGATAAAATTTTAGCCTTTTGGAGAAAAGAACACAGGATACCAAACTTGAATGAAAATGAAACTTATGAAGTAAAATATCTAGCAATTTAAGAATGGAGTTGCTATATTAATTGGAAGGCATCAAAAGGCTACTTGCAAGTCATGAAAAGATCCATCTTCTACATTGAGCTAGTGTTTTCTAAACCAAAAGTGGTATCAATTCTTGAAAGGCACAGGCTTAAAAGAAATAAAACGAATCTGATAAAGGATTTGAATCCAGAACTCTCAAAATTAATAAAACAATATTTAAATGGGTTAAAGATTTGAGTTGACATTTCAAAGAAGATAAATGGTTCCAATAAAAACATAAAATTATGCTCACTTATAAATCATTAGGAAAATATAAAAAGCAAAATGTCACATTAAAACTGAATAATACCAAATTCTGGTTAGGATGCAGAGTAACTGGAACTCGTATTATTGGACAAATCAGAAAATGTAAGGTCACTTTGGAAAAACAGTTTGGCGGTTTCTTAGAGAAATAACCTATGACAGTAATCCCATTCCTCGGTATTTATCCAAGTGTAAGGAAACCATGTTCACACAAACCTGTGTGAATATAGCAGTTTGATTTACAATTGCCAACTAAAACTGGAATATTCTTCCAACTAGTGAATGAATAAATTCCATTCATACAACAGGATACTACTCAGGAATACAAAGAATTGAAGTACTAATAACACATGGATGGATTGCAGAAGGGTGTTAAATGAAAAGGCAGCCTCAAACAACTCTATAGCATTCTGGGAAAGTAAGTTGGAAAAGTCTAGTGCAAAGTGGTGCTAGGAACTTGGATAGAATAATCCTCATGGATGCTTCTCATGAAGTTATCACCAGCTCCTTGCTACAGCATAGCCAAGGACATAAAGTAGGCAGCCCTTACCCTGGTGTGACTTTCCCCATCAGTCCAGTCTGGTTCATGGCATGCATATGATGGCTTTTGCTCAAAATATAATAGCCATACATATTAGAGATTTTAAAACCTGTACTTGCTCTTCTAAAGATCTGATAATTCTTCATCAAAACAAATGTCTAAAAGCAAACTTGAAGATTCAATGCAATCCTTATCAAAATACTATGGCATTCTCAAAACTAGAACAAATACTCCTAAAATTGCTGTGGTATCACAAAAGACCTGAAATAGTCAAAACAATATTTTTTACTATCTCTTTTTATGGGGGGGGGGGGGAGATAGGAGCATTAACCGGGGCTTACTTGCATAACCCCCACTGGGGATGAGCCCGCAACCCAGGCCTGTGTCCTGACCTGGAATCGAACTGTGACCTGGTTCATAGGTCGATGCACAATAACTAAGCAACATTGGCTGGGCAGCCAAAACAATGTTAAACAAGATCAAAGTTGGAGGTACCACAATCCCTGATTTCAGACTACAACAAAACCACAGTAATCAAAACAGAATGGTACTGGGACAAAAAGACACTTAGATCAGTGGAGCAGAACAGCCCAGAAATAAACTTGCTTATATGGTCAATTAATCCATGACAAAGGAGGTAAGAATATACAATGAAGAAACAACAGCCTCTTCAAAAAGTGCTGGAAAAACTGGACAGATGCAAAAGAAAAAAAGGAACTGGGCCACTTTTTTACACCATATACAAAAACTAAAACTGTATTAAAGACTCAAAGTAAGACCTGAAACCATAAAGCTCCTAGAAGCTAACACAGGTAGTAAACTATCTGACATTAGCCTCTATAATTTCTTTATGTATATGTCCCTCAAGCAAGGGAAACAAAAGCAAAAATAAACAAATGGAATATTACTCAGAAATAAAAAAGAATGAAACACTGATATTTGCAACAACATGGATGGACCTAGAGGGTATTATACCAAGTAAAATAAGTCAGAGAAAGAAAATACTGTAAGGTTTCACTTGTATATGGAATCTAAATACTACTACAACAACAACAACAAATAACCAAACAAAAACTACTAGTGCACCACTTTGCACTAGACTAGAAATAGATCATACTGATGTTGCCAGGGGGAAGAAAAATGAGGAATGACTGAAAAGGTGAAAGAGAATACAGTCAATAATACTGTAATAAGTGTGCACAGTGACAGACAATTACTAGACTTAGTGTAATAAAATTAAAATTAGAAAAGGCAACAAAGGAGAGAAAGGAAAAAAAACTTGACATTGCAAAGAAACAAAGACTAAAAAAGTTTAAAAGGATGTTTCTAAAAATACACAAAAAATAACAACACCAAAACCTAACATTAGAAGAAAACACCTTCACAAATCAATAAAATTTAATGTTGAACTAATTGACAAATTAATGCACAAAGTAAAAGACACAGACCAAGAGAAAATGCACATACATAAGAGCAAAATAGAAAGTAGCAGTTAATAGGCGTGAAAAGAAATGCTTAACATAATGAGGGGAATAAGGACACATATGTAATGCTTTAGTAAAGAAATTTAAAAAATAAATAAAAGGACGGAAAGAGAGGGAACAAAGATGAGCTGAAACCCAACAGTAATAACCAAAAGCAGCTGACAGATAAGGCATGAAAAAAATTCATTTGGTCCATGGGAAGGGATGTTTTGGCTCCAGGGGAAGAAAAAGAAAGAGGAGAGCAGAGGTTTCTTCCCCCTGGTGCAAAGCAGACAGCACAGTGAGCCCCAGCACTTTGAGTGCAAACAAAGAGTGGGTCCTGCACAGACTACTAGTGAGCATCCTAAGTAGGTTCTCTTTAAAATCACACCTTGTGCACATTCAGCAATACAATTTGGAAGTAAAATGAAAAGTTAAATCTTAGTGAAAATAATTTATTACTTTAAAAAATAAGCATTTATAACAGAATACCAAATTAGATTTCTAGTGCACTAACAAAAGCATAATATACTCAAAAAAAACCAAGGACTTCCAACTTGCAATATAAGTAAATGAGTCAAACAAACACTTGGTTTACCTAGAGGCAAAAGCCAGTCACTGCCACCTAATCCCATTAATGCATGCTGCTTCCCATGTAAGGGGAGACTGCACTGGGGTCTCCCTGCTCCTCACTAGAAATGCACCGAAAGTGACAAGCCTGGGGCAGAAGAAAGGCTGCTATTGCAAGTTGGAGCAGAAGTGACAATTCTATTTTTGGTCCCTTGGGGAAGTGGAAGGGATATGCATTACATTCACCAGGTCTACATGGAAGACGCTAATCATAAAACAGTCCAGGGTTCAGATTTCATCTGTGGAGTATGGTGAGCATGGTCATGTCCTAATTCTTTTTTGGAGTTTGGAAGTGTCCCTGATCGTGTAACCATATATTCAGGGTTGAGAGAGACGCTAATGCTGTGCCTTCCACAGGGGCCATGATGGCTCCTGCCCTAAGGTGACTAAAAAAGCAGCTCTCATTTCCTTAAACATTCTGGCTCAGTATCAGGAGTGGAGGTAGCAAAGTATTATCAACGTCAGAAGAGTTGAGTTCACAGTTTATCCCACAACGGATGCATTAGGCTTTTTAGAGAACCTCAATGAGACTGTCAGTAATAAGCAATCACCTTTTTATACAAATGAGATTTCTTACAAGTCTCTGGAGTTTGGCTCAGAAGCTACTCTGTTGTTCTTGAGGACAAATGCAATCCTTTGGAGTTACCAGATTAGGTCCTATCATTGAGCATGTCTTCACTCCACCCCCTGTTCTTGGCCTCCATGTACACAGATGCATAGCACTGCTGCATGGCATACTCCATCTCAACCAGCTGGCGGCATCCGATAGTTAACTTTTCCCTGGGGAATAAAGAAATGTTAAATCACTGCAAGAGAGCTGGTCAGGTAAATGAAAAAATTTCATACAACAGGATAACACTGAGATGTGAAATACATTATTTGATATTTGAGAGAGAAAAATACTGAGAGTTACGGTTTCTTAGCATAGACAAAACATGGGAGGATAAGCACTTAGTAGAATAGTTCTCAACCAACATGAAGATCTTGATCTCGAAATTCTGGAAATTGGCAGATCTGCTATCAACAAGCGAAGTTGGATGCTTAAAAAAAGTCCTTTGTATGGTTTCTGAAGGACCTCTCCCCGGGGTTGGGCTGATGTTAATATGTTCTAATCTGTGTGGTAAGCAAGGCTGGGTGGCAGGGAGGTAGAGCACATATTTTTGTGTTGTTTAGTTTGAGAGTTAAAGAACAGGTAGAGGAGAAGATTCTAAGAGAATGCTCCTCCTGCACTCTCAAGTGCCTGGAGTATGCCATGAAGAGATCCCATTGAAACCTATTTAAATCTAGAGATTGTCCACATAAATTCACAATATACACCATCTAGTACAGCATCTGACACATTAGGTGTTCAAGAAAAGGCAGTTACTTTTATTGCGCAAATGACAATTACTACTTCTTTGGTACTAAGATTACTCTCAGCAATCTCCAGTGTTGCCAGAGATCACTAGCTCCCTCTATTTAGGAATACACTTAAGCAAAGAAGCTCAGACATGTACACTAAAAAGTACAAAACATTGCCAAAGGAAATTAAAGACCTAAATTAGTGGCATCTCATGTTTAGACATTGGAAAACTTAATACAATGATAATACTCCCCAAACAATCTACATATTTAACACAATCCCTATCAAAATTACAACAATCATTTTTGCAGGAATGGGAAAGCTGATCCTATGATTCACACATAATTTAAAGGACCCCAAATAGTCAAATTTTGAAAAAGAAAAATGTTAGAGGTCTCACACTTTCCAATTTTGAAAAGTTGACCCAAAGCAACTTCAATCAAAACAGTGTGGTACTGACATAAAGACATACAGACCAATGAAACTGAATTGAAAGTCAAGAAATTAACCTTGATATACATGGTTAATTGATTTTCGACAAGGGTGCAAAGGCCATTCAATGTGAAAATAATAGTTTCTTCAACTAACAGTGCTAGGACAACTTGATATCCACATATCAAAGGAATGAAGTTGGACTCATACCTTATACAAAAATTAATTCAAAATAGATTAATGACCTGTTAAAACTAAAACTACAAAACTCTTAGAAAAATATTTGAGGTAAATATTTATAACCTTAGCCTTGGCAATGGATTCTTAGATATGACATCAAAACCCAAACCAACAAAAGAAAAAACATAGATGTTATCAAGTAAAAAAATTTTTTTCAATGCAAGAATTTATATGAACTACCCAGCAAAAATTGTTTTGTCCTTTTGCAACAGTATAAACAGTTCACATTTTAAGGCAAAAATACAAATAACCCAGCAGCACTTTTGATAAACTCAATTCTGATGAGGCGACTGCAATTTTTTCCCCCTTCTAAGGCCACCTGGTGCTATGCCCTGAGCACCTGTTCAGGTTGACATTTACACAACTTTGCATGGTTTAGTTCAAAGATTCTTGTTCTCTTTTATGTCTTTGATATTTTGTCTGGTTTCTTATCTGGCAATGTTATTTGGGGGTATAGTATATCATAACATATGATTAAACAGAAATCTCTCAAAAAATAAGAACTTGCAAATGAATATATCTTCTAAGGGTCTAATATCCAGAACGTATGTGTCAGGCTGCCAGGTGTCAAGGTGGTTGATAGTCAACAAGCCAAACCGAAAGTAACAATCAGGGCTTGATTCATTTACTGCGACTGCAAGGGGCCAAGTGAAAGGTGTCAGCTCCCTAATGCTCCATTTTCCCCACAGAATGACACCAGGTAAGAGTCAGACAACATGCAGTGCAGTATCTCACTATTGAGGAGTCCCAAACTAAGGTTCTGCCTTGCATCGACGCAAATGGCTAAGGTGTCTTAGTCCTTTCAGCCTGCCATAACAAAATATCATGGACTGGGTAGGCGCTAAACTATACATTTATTTCTCACAGTTGCAGAGGCTGGGAAGTCCAAGATCAAGGTGCCAGCATAGCTACATTCTGGTGAGAACCCTCTTTTGTAAGAGCAGTATTCCCATTTATGAGGGCTCCACCGTTATGACCTAATCACCTCCCAAAGAGCCCACCTTGTATGATCATCATCTTGGATAATAGGATGTTAACATATAATTTTTTTTTTTTGGGGGGGGGGGACATAAACAGCACAGCAAAGGAAAAGAGCTAGGAGCAGAAAAGCATTGAGTCAGAGTGGAGAAAAATACTATGGCCAAGGCCTCTAAAAGGGGAAGTCTCAGCAGAGATGCCTCAGCCAAAGCCCGCCCGCCCCTCTTACACACACACACACACACACACACACACACACACACACACACAAAGGAGGTCTCCAAATGAAGTTGCCAGGACTTGGAATGCAAGTACACATGTGAGCATGCTCAGGGGCAGAGGGCCTGAGCATTGCCTGCAGCTCCCTCGAGAAGGCTGCAGTTCACTGGCTGTGTACGGAATCTGGTATGGAGAAGGCAGCTTTCCCCAATGGAGCCCGCCAGATAAAAGCCACATAACTGTCACGGTCAGGTCTAAAAGATCACACCTAAGATTTTCACCTGGAGCCAGATTCCTCATAAAAAATTCTTACAATTCAACAACAGAAAGAAAAAACAACCCCATTAACAATGGGCAAAGGGCTTGAATAGATATTTCACCAAAGACAAACAAATGGCCAACAAGCTTATAAAAAGATGTTTAACGTCATTAGTTCACAATGAGATAAAATTCCAAATTCTTTAGAATAGCTACAATTAAAAAAATGGAAAATAAATGTTAGTGAGGATGCAGAGAAATTGGAACTCTTATATACTGCTGGTGGGAAGGTAAAATAGTGCAGCTACTTTGAAAATAGGAAGTTCCTCAAAAGTTAAAAACAGAATTACCATGTGACCTAGAACTTCTACTCATAGGTATACACCCTCCTCAAATTATAAAGAACTGAAAGAAATCAAACAAAGGCAACACTATTCACACTAGTTCCAAAGTGGAAACAACCCAAACGTCCAACAACAGATGAAAGGATAAACAAAATGTGGTATATACATACAATGGAATATTACTCAGCCTTTAAAAGGAATGAAGTGTTCATATACACTGAGTTACCAGATTATTATAATCTCTAAACGCATAATAATCTGGCCACTCAGTGCATATCCTGTATAATAAAAGGCTAATATGCAAACTGCTCCCTCCACCAGGAGTTCAACCAGCAGGCAGGCTGGCTAACCACCCATGTCCACTCCCCCTGGCCAGGCTGGCTGGACCCCACCCGTGCACAAATTCATGCACGGGCCTCTAACATATAACACACACACACACACACACACACACACACACACACACTGAGTGGCCAGATTATTATGCGTTCAGAGGTCATAATAATCTGGCCACTCAGTGTATGCTACAATGAGATAAATCTTGGAAATACCATGATAAGTGAACAAAACCAAACACAAAGGGTCATATGTTGTATGATTCAACTTACATGAAACACCCAGAATGAATAAATCCAGAGAAAGAAAGCAGCTTAGTGGTTGCCAGGGTTTGGGGCCAGGAAGGATAATAGAGAATGACTACTTAATGGATATGGAATGTCCTGCTGGGGTGATGGAAATGTCTTGGAACTAGACAGAAGTGACAGCTGCACAGCTGAATGAATGCTCTCAATGACAATGAATTATACACTTTAAAGTAGTTGTTAATTTTGTTACCTGAATATTACCTCAATTAAAAAAGACAAAAGTATATACTTTTGTATTATGATCTTTTACAAATAATATAGTTAAATGCACTACGAAGTATTATTGCATCTATAGACACAAAAAATAATGTAATCCTTTTCTAATTAAGACAGAAACATCAGTCCTAACCGATTTGGCTCGGTTAGAGTGGATAGAGTGTCAGCCTGCACACTCGAGGGTCCCAGGTTCGATTCCAGTCAAGGGCATGTACCTTGGTTGCGGGCACATCCCCTTCCTAGTGTTGGGTGTGTAGGAGGCAGATGATTGATATTTCTCTCTCATCGATGTTTCTAACTCTCCCTCTCCCTTCCTCTGTAAAAATTCAATTATATATATTTTTAAAAAGAAACATCAAAGGTCTAAATTTGAATCCTAGATTATTTTTTTCCTAAGGCTTTTTCTGTCTGAGCTTCTTGGACAGACTAGGTCATTAATTTAACACAGGGGTTCTGAAACTTGACCATGCCCTGGGCGAACTGTCACACAGATTGCTGGGCTCCACCCTCAGAGTTGATCATCCAAGAAGTCGGGTGGAGCCTCAGAGTTGGCACTTCTTGCAAGTTCCAAGGTGATGCCGATACACAGGTCCTGGACCCACAGTCAAGACAACCACAGCTGGAATGCAAGCTTGAAGACACTGCCAGGGACCTGTGTCCTGGAGTAGGAAAGCAGTCATTCCTGATAGCACTTGATAGCAAAAGAAAGCTTCTGATATACAAGCCATCTTAGGTAGTAAACTGTTTGGACATGCCAGGTGTTTTATAAAGCTAATGTCACAAATTAGCTTGCATTTTATCTAGAAGAAAAATGACCTCTGGAACTTGTCTCACAAATATAACAGGACAGTTTGTCAAGAATTTCAGGGCCAACAAAGTGACTTAAATCTGCTCCTAACTTATTTCTCATACAGATAAGACACTATACAAGATATATACTTGGCAACCTGTTTTATAATCTAATTTACCATCCTGGATTTTCTATAGATAGATAGATAGATAGATAGATAGATAGATAGATAGATAGATAGATTGATTTCAGAGAGAACAGGAGAGGGAGAGAAAGAAAAATCAATGATGGGAGAGAATCATTTATCAACTGCTTCTTGCACACATTCTACTGGGGATTGAGTCCGCAATCTGGGCATATGCCCTGACCAGGAATCTAACCGTGATCTCTTGATTCATAGGTCAATGCTCAGCCACTGAGCCACATCAGCCAGGCGATCCTGGATTTTCTGAGCAAACTCCTCATATGCTCAGGGTAAAAAGCGCACAGATAGATATTACTGGTGAGAGCAAAAGCTATATCAAAGAGTCTATAGAAGACAGAAACTACAGAAGACAGAAAAGTTCACTGGTTTATAGACAGTGAACACGGAGGTTTTCCAGTGTCATAGAATTCAACTTTGGATCTGAAACCTCAATTCCTTGTTTATCAGAACCTAAAAAAAAAAAAAAAAAGTTTTATGTTCTTCAGCTACTTAACTACATCCCTATTGCAATAAATATGATGTTGGGCATGTCAACAGTCTCCTTCCTCACAACTAATACTTTAAACTAAAAAGCAAAGAACAGGAAATTCAGACATTTTAAGTCATTGCTCTTCGTAATATTCTCAAAGGTGGCCAGCTATATATGCAAGCTAAATCACTCATCTATTTTCATCTCTGAGCCACAGAAAAACTTTGCCATCTACTATCCATTCATTTGGCCCCATGTCTAATATGAACTACTGTCTCTTTTGGCAGCTTATTGGAAAACTGAGCTGTGGACTATCCCAGAGGCTAATATGGGAGATAGATAGGGCAAATAATTTCAAAACAACAGCAGAATAATGAATCTAAAGGCTATATCTTTCGATGCATTCAAGATATTAGGTACATTTGATTTCAAAATCATCTTTTTGGGTATAAGAGGGAGCTTATTAATTTCATAGTTCAAATCCTTGGTACTGTAAGTGGAAAGAAAACAAATTAGAACTTTAAACATTCAATTTTCATCCCTGTACACTCCCTTCCTTCTCCCACCCCCTCCAAAAAAAACCTCTCACCTATTCTAACAGTTCAGGGAAATTAAACTAACTTTAGAGATCTGATGGAACCATTCTGCAGGGACTCTGCCCTCTAAGTTATCTACAGTGGGTTTTCTACACCTTCAAAAATATGGCCAAGGTTCATAGGCATTATATTATAACACAAATCTCATGTACACATTTACATGTAAATTGGCCGTAAAGATCTATAAATAAGATAATCTGAATATTACGGTAAAAAAAAACACAAAAAAACCCCCACCAATTTTCTCCCCCAGTTGCAACATCATGCATGCCCACTGCCTTCAGATATTCTTGGAAAATTATTTGAATCTAATGAGTGAATGTTCATAGCTGTGCTGCTTAATGACATTTGTCCTAGCATCTTGACCATCAAATTTATCAATTAAAAGTTTTAATAGAAGCAACTTGATAGTTAACTTAGACCCTGAGCCGGCACATAAAATTTTGTAACCACACCTATACATTATAAATAGCAAATAAACAGTGATTTAGTGTTGCAGTGGCATATTACATAGCAATGAAAATAAAAAATGCAGTCAGTTCAGCTCCAACACTTGTTCCAAATGCACATATTTGTTCCAACACCACTTATATAGTAAAGAGAATTTGAGCACATACTAGTAATTGTCCTATGCACAATTTCAGTAGTGAGAGATGCTAGATGAACAGAGAAAACTGCACCTCATTGACCCAAGCTGCTTAGGAACAGATAAAACACACTCATGCACACACCTCAAACATGTACAGCTACTTCAGCTTCTTATGTGTATGGGCTACATCCATTCACACTTAGTACTGTGACTTTGCATCTAATTCTAGATAACCCCTCCCCCAGCACATCACACTAACCAATGAACTGCAGCCTTCCAAAAACCACTTCTATTAGCAATCTGAGCTCTTTTACAAGTGTTAAATCTATTATAGCATTTATATATTTCCTAACCACTAACATGCGTAAATCTGGGATACCATTTTGATTATTCAATGTGTCCTTATGTCTTTGAGATGTGCTACAGCCCCATTTTTTCTTATGCACCCTGAGGTTTTAACTGCATGATTTTGCATAGAGGGTGGGTGATATTAGGAACATACCTGTCATGTTGTAAAAGAACATGCTCCATGCCTCAACATGGTGAATCTCAATGTTGACTTACAGAGAATAAGGGTGACAGTGAAAGATTTAAGTTAAATGTGTTTTTGTTCCTCAGGATTTGTCTGTCAAGGCCCAGGATGGAGAGATTCAAACATATACCCTGTGTATACAAGAATCAGATTTATACTACTCCTTTTTTGTTACATATGAATGCTAGAAACTAAGTTATTTGTTTTGAGAATATATAGAGTGTGATACTGCTAATTTAATCCCTTTTTTAAAAACCTAGAAACACTTAAAATATTTTTAAAATAGATTTTTATTAATTTCAGAGAAGCAGAGAGAGGGAGAGCGAGAGAAACATCAATGATGAGAGAATCACTAATTGGCTGCCTCCTACATGCCCCACACTGGGGATCAAGCCTGCAACCCAGGCATGTGCCCTGACAGGAATCGAACCATGACCTCCTGGATCATAGGTCGACGCTCAACCACTAAACAGCACTGGTCAGGCCCCATTTGTTTAATAATAAATAATATGTAGTAAAACCATAAAGATAAGGTTGAGAAGTATAAAGGTTTATTTTGTCAACTGAGTATTCTTTATACCTGTTGTTCTTTAAAACATGGTCTGGGAATGCCAGCCTCTTTCAAAGGGTTTGAGATGTCAAAGAGGCCGAGGCTATTTCCCTAATAAGACTGAGACATGATTTGCCTTTTGCAATCTCACTCTTGCAAAAGTACACAGTAGTTTCACAGTGACACATGACATGATTATGGAAACAAAATAAATGCAACAGCTATGAGAACCCAGCTTTCTTCTATTAAACCAGACATTAAGAGATTTGCAAAAATGTACAATACCACTCTCATCAGTAACATTTTTGGTTTGGGAAAAATTCTTTTCATAATTCTATGATACTGATCTTAACATGTAATTCATTAACTACTGTTGTTTTTAAATAAATATTTTAAATTTATCAATTCTAACTTCTAATACAGTAAATACAGATAAATATGACCCACATAAAAAAAGCTTTGAGGGTCTTTAATAACTTATTTTTTATTTTTTATTTATTGATTTTAGAGAGAGAGGGAGAGGGAAAGAATAGAAGGATGGGGCAGGAGAGAGGGAGATAGGAAGCAGAGGAGAAGGGAGAGGAAAGGGATAAGGAGACAGAGAGAGACAAGCAGACATCAATTTGTTGTTCCACCTATTTATGAATTCATTGGTTGATTCTTACTTATCTGTACCCTGACCTGGGATCAAACCCACAACCTTGGTGCACACTGGAACAATACTCTAACCACATGAGCTACCCAGCCAGGACTTCAATCACTTTAAAATATAATATAAAGGAGTTTTGAGGACAAAAGTTTGAGATTTTAAATCTTATACCTGCTAAACCCCCCTCCACACACACACACACACACACACACACACACACACTTTTTGTATGTATGAAATATTTTTATACTAATAAAGGTAAAAAATCATAGTGAACAAACAAAACAAAAAAAAAAAACCTCTTCATCCCCAGTATGTCTACGTATAGATATGACTTACCGATATTCAGTATGTGAAACACAATCATAAAGTTCCTGGGCAGTAAATTTGACGCTTTTATTTACCTGAAAAGAACCAAGATATAGTTGTTAGAAATGCATATTAAATCAAACAAGTAGTAAGAACACAGAGTGACCCATATTCTGAGAAAGCAGAACATCAAGTTTCTAGTTCTTGCATAGGAAGGACAGAACACTAAGAATCAAAAGCTCAGTGACCATGATGCTAACAATCAGCTATGTGTAAAAATAGTAGTCCTACTGTCTCAACCCAATCAGATCATAGGACTGGTAGTGAGATGGCCCTGGGGTTAGTAAAAAAATCTCAACAATTACTTTGTATTATAGATCAAAGGGGGGGAATGTACTCCATGAAACCAATTCATGTTTCAGTTAGCCTGACCTATTAAAATACTTATTTTCAATATTTATTTTCTAGGAAAAGTAAATAACATAAAAAAATAAAATTTAAGATACTAAAAACTTAAAGGGGTGAGTGGATTTGTGGTAGACCATATAAGCAGAAACAGCCACATCTTGTTTATATCCTGAACATTAGAAATAATTCAAGCTGAGAAAAAAAGTCAAGTATTCAACTCTAACAACATTTGGATACTATGCTGACCCTTTCAAAAGTTATTACTGAATAACCTTCACTTTCATCTAAATAGGAGGGTTATAAACTGTGTGGAAACACCTACCTATTTAGGGGGAAAAAGTGAATTACAGACATTTTTTAAAGAAATGTATTCTTCAGACTGTGGAGGTCTAAATAGGTAAACTGATATGTTTAACTTTATAAATATATATTATAATCCAGACATAATATACAATACTAAAAGTCCTTACACAAGCTAGCATTGGCACTTGTAGTACACAGAGAAACAATTCTGTATTTCTGAGGTTTCGCTACTGATTTAGGTTATATTTTACTTATGTGTAGAAAATCTAAGAATTTGTAGAGGAAAACTCCCTTTATCAGATAACTCAACAAATAGCACAGTACCTAAATTTTAAGAACTTCTGAATTAGTGAAAGGGAAACTAAATGAGACTATCTCCTATTCAATTTATTTATATTAGCTGGTATGCATCCATTAACACTACTTTAAAGACTCATGAGAGTCTTTTATAGAATTAAGGGTATTATTTGCAAAAGTCCCATGAGCTTCTTTAGTATTTTCATAAAAAATTCATCATATTTGGGTAGAAAATGTTTCATTCACTGAAAGTTAAAAATACATACTTTTAAAATATAACATTTTAAATGAATATGATCCTAAATTTTGCTTAAAATGTGTTATTTCATTATATATAATATTTAATATATTTATAATGAATGTATTAAATTGGTATATAATTTATCATAATTAACTTCTTAGGTACTTTACAATTTTTAAAAGTATCTTCTAAAAATGTCTTAAAATATGTACTTAAACTATCAACCAGTCCAATTCCACCGTCTTTACATGTTCTTCTCAAGTCGCAGGGCCTTCACTATTTTCACTATTATCCCAGCATACCAGGACCTTGGTGTCTGATCAGAGAATGAAGGGAATCACCTATTTTCCATCAATTATTGAGAAAAATCAGCTAAGATTTTTGAACCTTGTATAATATGGGGGGGGGGGGGGATAGGTCCTTAAGCCTTTAGTGTGTTTTTAGAAAAATGAGTATCTAGATGATGCTTTTGTTTTAAAAGTGATCATCCATAGACATTTGGACACTTATCCCAAAATACAGCTAGGGTACAAGTGTTCCAGGTCATAGGTGACTTACAAAAAGAGACAGTTAATTTACTACTAAAAAAGGAAAACTGAAATACAAATTCATCACTGATATCACAGAGTCTAGCCTAAAATATCTTGTTTCATCATATTCATTAATTTGATTCAAGACATTTTTAATTGTTCACATTGGGACATTTTAAGTTACATTGTTAAATATCATTTTTATGTTCAAGTATACAATTTTAATTCCCAGGGAACAAATAGTTCAAAGATGCCTTTGTCAGTAAACCTTATTAGAATTATGACATATTGTGGATTGTGAAACTGATGTTATTAAATTCTTGTACCATTTATAATGAATGCCAAATATTGACATGGCTATATTATTAATTCTTAATAATTCAAGAACAAAGGGCAAAGATTAAGTATAAAAGCCAAACATCTTAAAAGTTTAGATGGTCCTATCACTGTTTATGAGACAAATGTCTCCAATGCAGTAACTGATATAGAAAAGGAAGTTCTGCTAAGATAAATTATTTTAAAAATTTGGATAAGTGTCCAAATGTCTGTGGATGATCACTTTTAAAATCAACTTCACATTCTCATAAGTAATGTTAGGTATTTTCTCCCAATATCTCAGCAACAGGAAGCACTAAAAAAACCTATGTCCCATATTTTTTCAGGATGTGATTTTAAAATTAACATATTATTTCCACAAATATACTTTATCGTTAAAATTAATTACTCAATTTGAAATTTAGGGAATATCATGAAATAATGATATGAATCATGTCAAATGAAGAAATCATCCTAATTACATAGTATGGTTATGCAGTATTAGGGTGATTGTTTAAAAAGCATACATGAATGCTGTAAAACAAAATATTTATTCCGTGGTACTGTTTGGAACACTGTACATAGGTATAATAAGTTATTTGGTTTTTAAAAACATTATAATTTACATACTGATGTTATTCCCATTTTATAGATGAAGAAACTGAGACAAAGAGAATTAAATAATTCTTCAAAGAGCATTTAGGTAATAGATGGCAGAACCAATATTGTATACTTACTCACTAGGTTCTTCATGTCAGATAACGCATACAAATGGCTAAATATAGAGCTACTGAAGAATAAAAGTGAAGAAATCTACTTAAAGGAGTTTGACTCCGTAAACAAATGTGAGACCTGAATATATTCATATTCCTACAAGTAGCACATTTAAAAAATTAAAGACACAAGCACTTGGAAAGCAAGCATATATGGAAACATGTGCAAAAAGCTTAGGCTAACAGAAACTGAAGATCAACAGAATTCTCCCCCTGGATCAGCAAGGATGGGTAACAGGGCTGGCTGGCCTACATTGGCCCTGATTGGGAATGGGCTCGATGACCCCAATTAGCCCTGAAAGCCAGCCAAGCCAAGGGACCCCACCTGTGCATGAATTCGTGCACTGGACCTCTAGTATTATAGGACTCTACTGTATGTTTTTTCTTAGAGAATAAAAAAACAAACCATGTCACTGGAAACCTTCTGTGGCACTCAACAACTTAAAGTAAGTATCAACTACTTTAAATACCATTACGTTTTAGAAATCTACCATGTTAATTTATATTAAAATTTGTTTATGGTGGAAATGTGATAAACATTTTAAAGTGTGTTCATACCTCATATTTGATTAGGACGTTATAGAGGGTCTCAATATCTTGATAATTACTGTTGGGGGCCAAAATCCTAAAAAATAAAATATAATAAAAACAGGAAGGGGAATAAATGATTAAAGAAAAATACAATATCTGAACTTTTCCTCAAAACATATCCATACTATAAGAGATAACTTGTTGTATAATAATCTTTTAGAATGTTTACAACCTGTTCTAGTTTTCATCCGTTAAAAATTATAAAACTGTGAGTTTAATTCAACAGAAGATTTATTAAAATATTTTTGCTTATTTACATTGGTATTTGTATCATCAATTAGTCATTAACCAGAAGTATTCTGTGAAATAATAGTTCACACAATACAGATTTCTCAAAAGGTACATAGAAATGTGAAGTGCATTTGTACTCCCTATCATTTAAAGCTGCAGATAAAGCTTAAAAATTTTCCAGAGAAATGTTCAACCTATCCAACAGACAACTAATTAAACTGTCACACACACATACTAATAAAATATTTTGTGTTTTTATTTTTATTAATCCTCCTAAGGATATTTTTCTCTAGATTTTTAAGGAGAGTATAAGGGAAGAGGAGAGAAAGAAACATTGATGTTAAAGAAAGACACATCGATTGGTTGCCACTTGTAAGCACCCCAACTGCCTTAGACCAGAATCGAACCCTGGACCCTTCAATCCATGGGCCGACACTCTATCCATTGAGCCAAACTGGCTAGGGCAGATTTTGTGACTAAATTAAAATAAAACTGTTTGAACTATCAGCCTAGCATTATATGAAAAAGCATTAATAATCAGACCATTGCTAACACTGATTCATAAAAATAACAAAAATATATATAAATAACATATAAACACAAAATAAATGGAAACAAGAAATAAGTTAAAATAAAGAAGATAGAATAACTTATTTCTCCTTCTAGCAATCAAGTATTAATTCTCATCTTCTTATACTAAGTAGTTTTTAGTTTTCAATATGAATTTTTTTTCTGAAAAAGAAAAAAAGGAAAGCAGTCCTTTCATTACGGTATTGTGGTTAGTAGCATGTCTGCCTGAGTTTGTTGAGCTGAGTGAACTTGGATGAGTTCTGCGTGAGATATTTTTCTTATCTGTTAAAAAATATGGTAATAGTCCATATTTCATAGGGTTATTGTGAGAATTAAATGAACTACTATAGGGAAAGCTTTTATAACAGTGTCTGGTATTCAGAAAATACTGTATCAATTATAACTGTAATAACAATTATTATAATCATCTAATAGTTTCAAGCTACAGAGTAAGTGCATAAAGATCTAACTAAAGAGAAATCAGGCTACCTCAACTAATTTTTAAATTACAACATCTCTTTGAGATCTGGCTCCCAGCATCAGTTTGGCTTAAATAAATTTATATAAAAAGTAAAAAAGAAAAAATATTGTCTCTAGGTCCTTTTACCCTTACCAATGCTTGATATTGTCAGAGTTATTGTTGATATTGTTGGAGTTAACTGACCTAATAACCTTATTATATCTTTAATCTATGTGGCCTTTTTTAGACTGTGGAAAAGCTTTCATAAATTTTTCAGGACACAGTTGAGTTTTTAAAGGGGCTATACTCCCTTGGAGGAGACATATACAGAATATCTTTAAGAATATACAAAAATCTAAATAAGAATACTATTTCATAGAAAACCTTTTTCTCTCAAGAATTTTAATATACTAATAATCTCCTAATTGTGGGGGGGGGGGAAGACAAAGGATAATTATAATACATTGGGAGGGTCCATAAATAATTTGCTTTTAAAAAATGAAAACAAAGTTATTTAGATAAGGTAAACCAATCTTTTAGAAAGATATAAATAAATAGTGTGTTTTAACTCTCTAACAGCGTAAACAAACTATCAGCAAATGAGAATAATTTACATTTAATCATTTTTGTAGCTTTGGAAATATCTAAAAACAGGGCAAGAAAATGAGATGAAATGAAATGTTTTATTAGAAGTCTTATAAATTCCAAGCTGTTGAACACAACAGAAAGTACTAGTGAATAAAATTAACATTTTTCTGTCCTGAAATGCTTTACAAAAAACCAGTTTTGGGAAAAATCAGTTATTTATCTATCACAAGTCATATCCAAATTAAGAAATAAAAGAATTACATCATCCTAGTTTTCTAAATAGCAAATAATTACAGAAATTTTAAGCTCCCAATCTGGCTTTGTATTCTAAACAGTTTAACTGAGGTACAGCTTACAAACCATAAAATTCACTAATTTTAATACATTTACCAAACTGTACAGCAATCACCACAATCCAATTTTAGAACATTTCCTTCACCCACAAAAGGTCCCTCTTGCCCATCTGCAGTCATTCTCTTTTCTCACCTTCAATCTCAGCTCCAGGCAACCACTAATTTTATTCTGTCTCTCCAGAGTTGCATTTTTGGACTACACTGTATTCTTACTCTATAAGATCTTTCCTCACACCATCACAAAAGCATAATTGTAACTTTAAATAATAGCATACAAAGTCTAGTAGATGATGCAAATTCTAGTGGATAAGGGCTGACCCTCACAATGTATTAGGTAAGTGGAAAAGCTAGATACACACTAAAAATGCCCAGATCAGAACAAAGCCCCCTTTATTCTCTCATTCAACCAATATGTGAGGCCTACTATGAGTCAAGAACTATTCCAGGCCCTTGGAAACAACAGTGAACAAAAAATCAAAGATTCATAGTAGACCAAAGCATCATAGTTCTAAAAAGCGCAGAAAAGAAAAAATCCTGATCCAGCACAGGAAGATAATGAAGGAAGAATATTGCATTCTTCTCTATTTGAGTCTTTTCTTCCCACTTTTTAATTGCTACGTTTAACAAACTAGTTTACAAGTTATTTCTGTGATGAAATGCCAGAATTTGAAGTTTGTAGGAAAGAAGTTATTTTCTCCAAATGTAAATAAACACTTGATTACTTGGTAAAACAGAACAGAATTATATTCTAACTAGAGGCCCAGTGCATGAAATTCCTGCACAGGAGGAGGATGTCCCTCAGCCCAGCCTGCACCCTCTCCAACCTGGGACATTCCTCTCACAAGCCAGGACTGCTGACTCCCAACTGCTAGCCTGCCTGATTGCCCATAACCACTTCTGCCTGCCTAACCAGCCTGTTCACCCCCTATCCACTCCCCTGCCAGCCTGATGACGCTTAACTGTCCTCCCCTGCAGGCCTGGTCACCCCCAACTTCCCTCCTCTGCTGGCCCGATTGCCCCTAACTGCCCTCCCCTGCTGGCTGGTCATCCCTAACTGCCCACCCTGCAGGCCTGGTCACCCCCAACTGCCCTCCCCTGCAGGCCTGGTTGCCCCCAACTTCCCTCCACTACTGCCCCAGTCACCCCTAACTGCCCTCCCCTGCAGGCCTTTTCACCCCTAACTGCCCTCCCTTTCAGGGCTGGTCCCTCCCAACTGCCTTCCTCTGCTGGCATGATTGCCCACAACTGCCCTCCCCTGCTGGCCATCTTGTGGTGGCCATCTTGTGTCCACATGGGGGCAGCCATCTTGTGTGTCCACATGGGGCAGCCATCTTGTGTGTTGGTCAATTTGCATATTACCTCTTTATTAAATAGGAAGGATGAAGAAAGGTTTATTAGTATGTGAACATAATTCATATATATTACTGTTACAATCAAAATAAATCAATACGGTATTATTTCTTAGAAATAAAATACACATTATAGGACTGGCTACAAAACTTGTTATCCTCAAAGAATGTTTTGAGGTAAACTGGGCCACAAATGGACTAGACAATCTTTATTAAAAGACACTCTTAGGGATGTACTTCAACTTCATTATGTTCTATGAATGCTGAGTTTGGGAGAATGGAATTTGGCCTGGTATTTTTAAAAGTTGCCAACTTTTGCCGAGACCAGTTTGGCTCAATGGATAGAGTGTCGGCTTGGGGACTGAAAAGTCAGGGGCATGTGCCTTGGTTGCGGGCACATCCCCAGTAGGGGGTGTGCAAGAGGTGGCTGATCGATGTTTCTCTCTCATTGATGTTTCTAACTCTCTATCTCTCTCCCTTCCTCTCTGTACAAAATCAATAAAATATATATTAAAAAAAAAAAGTTGCCAACTTTTACTAACTAAAAGTACTGCTTATTGGAAATAAATAGAAAATAAAATGGAGAGAAATGGATTATGGGCTTTTATGCCTTAGTAATTCCCCACACAAAATTCTTGAGAGGTCAGCCTTTCTCATTGTTTTCTTCTTATACCAGTATGAAGACAAAAGACTCTTTGAATGAAAGTCCTAAAATTACCCTTTGATAGCAATTTTGAAAAAGAATAACAAAATGAAAGAATTAGCCCTTAGAGGGGAAAAAAACACTTTTCAGTAAATGGCTAATTTTCTTCATAAATATATCTACATTTGTCCTTTCAAAAAAAAATTCATAACAATCAATAAGTATTTATCAAATGCATACTATTTTTCAAATATATATTATTCTAAGAGCTACAGAATATTAAAAAAAATTAAAAGACACAGTTGCCTATCTTCAAGTTGTTTATTATTGTTGAAATTTCACTTTAGAATTTTGGAATCAGAATTAGGGAATAGGTATATGAAGTAGGATTTAATATGAAGCTCACAGACCACTTACAAACCAAGTCTGATCTGAATGTACCGTATTTTTCGGACCATAAGACGCACTTTTTTCCCCCCAGAAGTGGAGGGAAAAAGTCCCTGCGTCTTATGGTCCAAATATAGCCTACACATATACTTTAAAAAAAAGGTTTTTTACTTGCCCGGCTCTGTGTGGTCTCTGTGTGCTTGCCCGGCTCTAAAATGGTTCTAAATGCTGCTGTTTACTTTACAGGGTTGATTACATGTGTTTATGACTGTGATGTTGGGTTTTAATGCACATAAAATATTTTAGGACACTATTTGTTTCAGAATCTTTTTTTCTTCATTTCCCTTCTCTAAAAACTGGTGCGTCTTATGGTCCGGAGCATCTTATGGTCCGAAAAATATGGTACTTTGGTTTCTTTCCTAACAGCATCAACAGTAACACATAATGTCTTATTGAACACTTACTCAAAGTCTGACACTCCTTTTAACACTCTAAATTAGTTATGTGACTTTGATCAAGTTACCTACTTTTCTGCACCTCAGTTTCTTAATGAGGAAAAATCTAGCTTTATTTCATGTAAAAAAAAAAAATGACCTGGAAAGTTGAAGATAAAGGGAAAAATTAATAGAAAAGCTCATCTATCAGTATTAACATATTACAAAATAAACTTGGGAGGCAAAAAGTACTGTTAGCAGTAAAGAGAACCAATTCACCAGGAAGATATACCATAACCTCAAAATATATAAAGCAGATGTTGACTGCACTACAAAGAAATTGCAAAGCTCACAAATACAACTGGAAATTTCAGCATCAATCACAAAACTGGTCAGACAAAAATTAGCAAGAACTTAATCTAATGGACACAGAGAACCCTGTGCCTTAAAAAATAGAGGAAGAAAACAAAAAGGAATCAGATGATACCAGTTGAAATAATGAGTTTCATTTAAGCACAGTATGAGCTAAAAATTCACAACTGAACCAAGAAGAGAGGTAAGATTGAAAGTACAGTACTATTCATAAAGAGTTTGGAGTAGATGAGATCACAAATGGAGAGCATACAGGGATGCGGTGAGAGAATACATCTAGGGTAAGCCTGGAAAACTCGCTGCCAAAGCATTAAGTATACCAAAAGTTCCTGAAGTAACCATTACATTTCTCTTAGGTTAGAAGATTAATATTTACCTTCAACAGGAATGGCAGGAAAACATGGTTGTAAGGTAAAGATAATAACAGCATTACTGTAGAACTTTTTGTTGAGTCCTCAGAAAGATCTAAGAAGTTGCCTTGGAGAATTTTTCAGAAACACCAGGGGCCCTTTAAGGGGCTTATAAGAGCATCCCTCAGAAATCTATTAACTAAGACTTCCAAAAATGTTAAGGGCATTGCCCAATCCAGTTTCACAGGGAACCCAAGGCAGAGAGAAGGCTTTTATTTCAAAGAAAGTTGTGGTTATGATTTTCGTCTAATGGAGTGAACCCCAATCAGAGTCATAGAAAACAGTTTTGTCGTGGAATGTTCTGGTAAAAGTACCACCACTTGAACTAAACAGGATAGAGAAAATATGAAATGGAAAGAGGTCTTTGGACTCTTCCTACCTTTTACGGGAAAGAACAGGCTACTCACTCCGCTGCAGTTCGCTTTTTTTTACGGTAAAAGTCAAGGCCAAAATTAAGAACCCAACGAGCAGTCAAGAGCAGCTGTAAATAATTCTCAGGCAGCAGGAATGAGCTCTAATCAAGGAAGTGGCAACATATGCAGGACTGGATTTTAGATTTACTCGAGATGCCCTGTGCCTCTTATTTCCCCCCTTTTTAATGTGAAGGTGCACAGTAGTTACCTTACGTCTGTCTTGATATTATGTGTTGGGAGTTGGGCAGGGGACTAATTTGTGTCTAGTTCACAGCAGTTCAGTAGAGGAATGGTACTCAAGGAGCTGTAGCTACAGGAGTTACTCTAAGGGCCCTCTGGCTCAACACACCCAGCCCAGATTTAAGTGATGAGGTCTTAGCCTTTAAGCTAATGTCACAATGGGATAAGACTGGGAGTCTTAAGAAGGTATGCCTATATTTTGCTAATAGAAGGGGTATAAATTGCTGTGGTCAGAGAGCAGATTGTATGTTGTACAATGTGTTACATTGTATTTTCCAAGATGGCTGCACAACATGTTTTACTTACAATGTAACAATGACATTCCTCCTCCTGTCAACAGTAGATTATATGTTCCCTCTCCCTGAATCTACTTAGTCATGTATTCATTAGCCTTTAAAAATATATATAGCCCTAGCTGATTTGGCTCAGTGGATAGAGCATTGACCTGCAGACTGAAGGGTCCTGGACTGACATGCTGACCTAAGAATTCAGGGTTCGATTCCAGTCAAGTGCACATGCCCAGGTTGTGACTCAACCCTCAGTAGGAGGCAGAAGACAGCCAATTAATGATTCTCTCTCATCATTGATGTTTCTTTCTCTCTTTCCCTCTCCCTTCATCTCTGAAATCAATAAAAAAATATAAAAGGAAAAGGAAAAAAGAATTACTGCTATAGAAAATTTTTTTATAGAGCCCTAACCTGTTTGGCTCAGTGGATAGTGTCAGCCTGTGGACTGAAGGGTCCCAGGTTTGATTCCGATCAAGGTCATGTACCTTGGTTGCAGGCACATCCCCAGTTGGGGGTGTGCAGGAGGCAGCTGATCGATGTTCCTCTCTCATCGATGTTTCTAACTCTCTATCCCTCTCTTTTCCTCTGTGTAAAAAAAAAAATCAATAAAATATATTTTTAAAAAGTTTATAGAGACAGGGAGAGGGAGAGATAAAAACATCGAGGAGAGAAAAATATTGATAGGCTGCCTCCTGCACACCCCCTACTGGGAATCGATCCTCCAAAGTTGGCATGTGCCCTGAGTAGGTATTGAACCAGTGACCTCTGTGTGCATGGGATAATGCTCATCCAACTGAGCCACACCAGCCAGGATTCATTAGGTTTTTAGAGAAGGTTCTTTCTATCAAGTCCTACTATAGCCTAGAGAGAACGTTTTCCATATCTCAGCATGTAGAAGGAAGACAGGTCAGTACCTCTGTTGGTGGTAGACAGTTATGATAGTGGCAGCATGAACCAGTCACCCAGAGCCCAGGTAAGACATAGACCTGAGGAAGTGTAGAAATCTGTAAGGAATACTGGAATGTATAAAAACAATGGTCCCTTCCCAAATAGGCCATTATGTCACAGAAATATCTAAGTTGAAGAATTGGCAATTAAATTTCTAAACGTGAAATTCTATTTAAAATGACTTTCAATAAAAAGTTAAAAATGTATGGGTATGAAAATATGTTGGCCCAGGTTATAAGAAGTTATACCTCTGCAACTTCTCTGAATATTTACACATTTAGGGAGAAAAGTTAATTCCTAATTAATGGTACTGAAAATAAGCTGAATTTTCTTTGTTTTGAGGACAGATGGTTCCTTGTACTAATTAGGCCCTGAGCTTAACTATGTAAAGGAAGAATAGTTATTACACATTGAAAGATGCCTCTAATTCTACACACCAAGTATTTTACAGGATCACATCCACTTCCCTTAATTGTTTACAATTATTTCCAAGCAATCTGGAGGAACTGTTGACTTTTAAAAATAATTATAGTAATCATAAATTCGGCTCTAAAGTATAGAGCAGCGGTCACCAAACGGTGGTCTGTGGACCACTGGTGGTCCGTGAGGTTCGGATGGTTGGTGACCGATGTATAGAGGACACCAAGACACAAAAAGTTTCAAAATGCATTAAAAATCCTTTTCTTTTTGCTCCTCCAGTCCTTCCAACAGCACTGAAATGAAGTATGTAAAGTGTATCCCTAGCCAGTTTGGCTCAGTGGATAGAATGTTGGCCAGCATATTGAAAAGTCCCAGTTTTAAGTCTGGCCAAGGGCACATGCCCGGGTTGCAGGCTCAACCCCAGTAGAGGGCATACAGAAGGCAGCCTATCAATAATTCTCTCTTATCATTGATGTTTCTATCTCTCTCTCCCTCTCCCACCCTCTCTGAAATCAATAAAAAAACATATATATTTTTAAAGTATGTAAAATGTATATTAAATTTTATAAATACCTAGAGTGGTTTCTCGGATCTACATATTCTGACTAAAAGAGAAACACCAATAAACAGCATGATCTGGGATAGACAGCACTGTTCTGAGTTGGACTTAATCTTTTATATTATTGAAAAACAGTCTTGAGGACACTGATTGTATCACTTCTCACTAGGAGCAGATGATTGGCCTGCCACGGTGTTAAAAAGTTCTTTAGAGGCACAAAAAGATAAGACTAATCCTAAAGTCTAGGATATACTCTATACCCTTTGTACAACTACTCTGTAGGATGGAATTAAAACTGATGATCTGGCTTTATCAAACATATTTACTATATACTTATTGTTTCAGTTAAATTATTATAACAACCCTTATTTAGCACCTTTAATTGATTTTCCCCCAGTTGCATTATTTTACTGATGCTTAATCCCACTGATTTATTTACTCAGTCATTTATTCCATCTGCTTCACTAAAAATGTAGTGCTTGCTGCTTTTAGCATTTCTTAAAATAAGACTTAACAGCAAGGAATATATAGTATTAAGTGAGTAAAATATTCTCTCCAATGTAATCATCATATTCTCTGAAGCAGCTAAATCATCAGTGAATCTAAAAAGCTACTGTGATTATAGAATTACTTTTCCCAGAAATCATGTATAGTTATACCAGTATATGTTTTGTTCCCATGTTAAGATTGGGTAAGAAAATTCGTTTTTTAGAGGCTTAATAAGCAAAAGACATGTAAATGACATACTAAAAGGTGCAAACTTCTTATTAATAGTGCCCTCTACTGGTAGTTCTGATATACTTACTCTAGGAGACAGGATTTGTTTCTTTAAGTGTGGCCTCCCACCACCTGCATAACAAATTCCCTGGAAAGCTTGTTAAGAATACAGCTTCCACCACAGTGGTAGAGCGTTGGTCTGTGGACTGAAAGGTACCAGGTTCGATTCCGGTCAAGGGCATGTACACTGGTTGCGGGCACATCCCCGGTAGGAGGTGTGCAAGAGGCAGCTGGTCGATGTTTCTCTCTCATCGATGTTTCTAGCTCTCTATCTCTCTCCCTTCCTCTCTGTAAAAAATCAATAAAATATTTTAAAAAAAGAACACAACTTCCCTCTTTTACAAAATGTCTACAGATATTGTGATTTCTATAATTCTGGGGTAATATCTACTCATAACTGCAAACCTACTTTCTCCCTCCCTATATAGATACTATATTAGTTTATAAAACTTGCGACTCTGAAAAAGCTGATACACCCAGAAGAAAGAGAAAAGTAATAAATAAATAAAAGTAATAAATAAAACTTTAAAATTAATTCATATTTACCTCTGAATTCCTTCAAGAATATTCTTTACAGCTGCCATTAATTTTTGAAGATATATAAATGCTTCTTCAAATGATGGTATTTTTGAGCAAGTCAGAGCTGAATTTGGGCCCAATCTTTGAAACACATCTGTGCTGAAATAGAGAAAAAGAAAAGATACTCATATGTATACCTGCATATTTACATGAATCCAAGTATTTCCATTTCTTATGCATAAAATATTTATAACTGATCTCTCACAATGCTGTTATATTTAAGTCATTTTCTTCTAAGAGTTTTATAATTATAGTTCTTATATTTAGGTCATCTACCCATTTTAAGTTAAGTCTAACTTCATTCTCTTGCATGTAACTATTGAGTTATCCCAACACTATTCTCTTGCATGTAGCTATTGAGTTATCCAAGCACTATAAGACACCATTCTTTTCCTATTGAATGGCTTTGGCATCTTGATTGAAATCAACAGACCATAGGTGTTTGTATTTATTTCTGTACTTTCAAGTCTATTCCATTAACTTATGTGTCCATTTATGTCAGTAGCACAGTTTTGAATACTGTAATTTTACAGTAAGTTTTGAAATTGGGAAATATGAGTCCTCCAACTTTCTTGTTAAAACTTCCATTCCATGAACATTGGATTTTTCCATTTATACAGATCTTTCTTTCAAAATATATTTTGTAGTTTTCAGTGTAAAAATTTTGCACCTTCTTGATTAAATTTATCCCTAAGTATTTTATTCTTCTTGATGATAATATAAGTAGAATTGTTTCTTTATTTCCTTTTTGGATTGTTCATTGCTAGTGTACAGAAATACAACTGGTTTTGTGTATTTATTACTTTAAAAATAAAAACCATAAACTTATTTAGAACACATATCTTTTAAAATTTTTTATACATTTAAAGCCTAGACATCATATAAAATATGAAAAATTCAGTAAAAGGAAGGAAATATGTAGTACCATAGTCCACCAATTAGAGATAAGCATTATTAATTTCCACGAGGTATTAATCACTAATAGCACCCAATACTTACCCAAATTCCTCACAAACAGAAAAGACGCAAAAACCTAAGCTAGTGTGCTATAAGTGCATAACTGATCACTGAATCACGAGAGCACAGGGCAAAGAGATGGCGGTTACTATGTGCGTAGGTGCTCTATTGTTTCAGAAGAATGACAGTGCATGGGGTCTGCTGGAACTTCAAATGAGCATCTCTACATGAAAGGGTCAAGCATAAGTATTTTGAGAAATTCTACAGTGACTCAGATACTCAATCAGGCATGAGAATCACCGAAGTAGGCTCTAATAACTTGACACTGATAAAGCAAGATAAGCACTTTTCACTTATATTATCCAGAACTCTTGAGGTAATTCTGATGTACACCCCTATTTGAGCATCACTGTTTTTAAGGTACCAATTTGACACAAGACCCTCAATAAGGTAATCTAGTTAATTAAACTCACAATTCAGATCTAACTGTTCAATGAATAACGGTAATGATGGCAAACCCTAAAATTCAAAACTTCTTAGAAATTTAGTACCTGTTCTCATATATTGTAATCCAAACACTCTCTAAGATAGACCAAATTTCTTGATGCCTGTTGGGTGTAGGGAGACGAACGCCCGAGAAATCAGTGATTTCTTGGTTGTCAGATTTCATTGGAGAAGTATCTTCTTGCTTTATACCTGCTGTATTTTCTGAAGGATTTTGATTACGTTTTGCCTTGACCTGGAGAAATAAGTATTACATAAAATGAAGCTAGTTCTTCATTAGTGAGAGAAAAAGAAGGCCAGTTGTGCTCCCAAATGTTCTAGCTTTCTGGAATGTTCTGACTATTCTCTATCTTTTGATTCCATACAGAATAATCCCAGAAATGTATCAGAACAAAAAAAAATTCCCTTTTTCATTTATATCAAACAATATTTCCAATCTATTTATTATAGTGACCTCTTTTAGCTAATATGCTAGTATTTCAATACTGTTTGAACTCTTCTGCACATATGATATTGAAATAGAGAAAGGACATTTGGGATACAATGATAAATTGGTATATGTAAGCCTCCACGCTCCTAAATTTTCATTAAGAAAAATGAAATTCTGAGGGCTGTAAAAAAAAAAAATCAGGATAGAATATAAGCCTTATCCTATTGGCAATGGTGAACCACTAAAGGCTTCTCAAGAAATGATATATTCAGAACAGCAGTCAAAGACAAACTGGAACAGAAGAAAATGGAGGCAAGAAACTGATTAGGCCCTGGCCAATGTGGCTAGTTGGTTAGGCATCATCTGGAGCACCAAGAGGCTGCTAGTTCAATTTCAGGTCAGGGCCTGGGTGTGGGTTTAGTCCCTCGTTGATGGTGTACAACAGGCAGCCTATTGATGTTATGCTCTCACATCAATGTTTCTCTCTTCTCTCTTCCTCTCTCTTTAAAAAGCAATAGGATATTCTTTAAAAAAGACAGAAAGCAAGAAGCTAGTTAAAAGGCTACTGAAATAATCCAGGAAAGACATGCTGAGAACTTGAACTAAATAGGGAGCCAAGCCTTCTGCTTGCTCTGTGGTGGCAGCATTTCTGTTGGGATTTATTTATCTTCTATAATTGAAACTTTGTAGCCTTAAGCAAAGGCCTGGGCCGGCCAGGGTGTGCAGAAAGCCTGGCTTCCTCCATTGCCAAGGAAACCCAAGCCTCCCTCCTGCTTTCTCCGTGACCACAGCCATTTGGTTGGGTTAATTTGCATACTCATTCCTGATTGGTTGGTGGCTGTGGCTTGTGGGTGTAGCATAGTGATGGTTAATTCGCATATTATTCTTTTATTAGATAGATATATATAAATATAAATATATATGTATATGTATATATGTATATATATGTATTTAGGAGTAAAGGGGATTCACATCTTCAATGTACTTTCTAAGAGTTCAGAAAAAAATGTGAAAGATAAGGTAGGTAAGAACACAGGGAAAACAATAAAGCAAATGTGATAAAATGTTAGCATTGAGGAATCTGGGTAAAGGATATATATGGGAATTCTATGTACTACTCTTGCAATATTTTGTGTAAATTTGAAATTATTTCAGAATAAAAAGTAACATTTTTGAACACCAACCCCAGAAATTTGATTCAGTTAGGTTTGAGAGGCTTGGCACCTGCATGTTTAAAGAAATCCAAAGTATTTTGATGCACATTGTGGTCTACTGGTCTACAGCACTGGGTAATGAGTATTCAAACAACAGTGCATAGCTTTCTTCTATCCAATAAATAAAATAATTAAAATCCCACAACTGCTGTGATACTACTTTCATACAACAATGTGTTTTATAACTTGTAATAAGAACTGCTTACTCGCCGAGACCGGTTTGGCTCAATGGATAGAGCGTCGGCTTGGGGACTGAAGGGACCCGGGTTCGATTCTGGTCAAGGGCATGTACCTTAGTTGCGGGCATATCCCCAGTAGGGGGTGTGCAAGAGGCAGCTGATCGATGACTCTCTCTCATCAATGTTTCTAACTCTCTATCTTTCTCACTTCCTCTCTGTACAAAATCAATAAAATATATATTTTAAAAAAAAAATTTTTTTAATTAAAAAAAAAAAGAACTGCTTACTCAACATTCATTTTTATTTTACTTAATGCCTTCTATAGGTTAGAATAAGTGAAAATTAAAATAGCCTTTATCTACTGTTGTCTGCTAAATACATTTAAATGTATGTGATTAGCTACCCTAAACGGAATTCCAAAGGCGTCTTACCTCTGCCAATGTTTGGAGAAGTTTGTTTACTTGAGCAAAGGCCTGTGGAAGAACACCATCATAATTTGACCTTGTACTGAAAGCATGTAATAGGCTTTGAGAATCCTGGAGTAGGAATTTTACTGTCGTAAAATCTACTGCACTGTTAGCTGGGAAAAGAAAATTAGAAGGAAAAAAAATGTTTTTGGAAAACCAACCTAATATTAATTATGAGACTTAAGAAGAGTACACATTTACATCTATAAGTCACTCCTAATTTATCTCTCTGGTATAAAAAGCAGCAATTAAACAGACTTAGTGACAAAGTTCTTGGAGGTGATTCTGCTATTCTGTATTTAGATTCTAGGAGTTGCAGCAACATGGTTAATTCAAAGACATACTATTCAAAAAAGAGAGCCAATCATCAAACAAATAAGTTAAACTACAGATTTTTCAAAACTGAGATTGTTTCACATACAAATTACTATGAAGGCATCAGGAGAGTCACACTTTGATAGCAAGCACATAAGTTATATGTGGTACCTCTCATAATCAACCCAGTTATTATACATAATGATTTACCTTCAAATTCCATTACATGAAATATAATTCTAGCTTTCTCTCTGTGTATGGCATATAGCAAAAAGTAAATAATTTGGGTAACAGTAAGCTTGAGGCAAAAGAAGCTAGCAGATTTTCCCCCTGTAAATTAGCAAAGTGAGTTCATCTACTAGTATAAGTAATTTAAAGATATAACTTTCTCTCAAGAAACTAAAATTACATTAAGATCTCAAACCAATTAGGAGAGATGGTGACAGTAATTTCAAAGATTTAAAAAGTATGAATAATGTGATTAAGTAACTTTCTAATGTCACCAAACTCAAAATAAGAATTTTTCATTAAGATAAAATGCTACTAACAATTTTTTAAATTTGTTTTTTTTTCTTTTCAAATTATTTTTTTCTTAATTCTTTTTTTATATATATATATTTTACAGAGAGGAAGGGAGAGAGATAAAGAGCTAGAAACATCGATGAGAGAGAGACATCGACCAGCTGCCTCCTGCACATCCCCTACCGGGGATGTGCCCGCAACCAATGTACTACATGCCCTTGACAGGAATCGAACCCGGGACCCTCCAGTCCGCAGGCCGACACTCTATCCACTGTGCCAAACTGGTTTCGGCATTTTTTTTCTTAATTCTTTATTGCTCAAAGTATTATATGTTTTCTTTTTACTCCATTGATCTCTCCCCAGCTGTTCCGACCCCCCATACTAACAATTTTCAAAGGCATTCAAAATAACCATTCTACAATGTGTTTTATTTAATGTTCAGTTTCAGCGACTGTTATATTCAGAAACACCAGCACTGGTACTATGAGTTAAAAAAAAATAAAGAATTCCTCTGTATCATTTATACAGCAAGTGTTTGCTCGTGAAATACTGAAAGGTCAAGTGAAAATTAAAGATGAAATTTAATAATTAATTAGAGAATATTCAGAAATTCTAATCTCATGTGATAGTAACAGCCAAGCTTCTAGCTTTCCTTTTACCAAACAAACAAATAGTATATTTCCTTACAAAACACTTAATTATTCTTAAAGTCAATGACTAGTTTAAATTCCTGTGGGAAAAGAGAGATGGGAGAAATGCTACACACAGGATAGCATGGAGATCCCATGAACCTAGGAAACTACTGAGGAGGAGAAACTGGGCACAACTTTTTCTAAAGGTGCTTCTCCACTCTGGTCTATGTTCATTAGTGCTTATATCCTTGAATTAATCACTTTATTTCTGTCTTAAAAAAATTCTTTCCGAATATTATGAGCGAAAGAAAAATAACAGTGATAAAGTCAGTACCTAGACACAACATAAAAAGAAATCTATGTGACTGAAATAGTTTAGTGCTCATGTAAGAACAATAATTATTTAAGACAAAGTTAATATGGATAATAAGTCAGACAAAGCTACTGGTCATTTTCCACACAATTTTCTATGAATGTGATCCAAGGATTCCTGTTTGGTATACCGAAGTTAAACATATATGTATATTCAATAGTGAGGTTACTATTAAAGATAGTAAACAAAATCTGCTATTCTCTTATTCAGAAAAATCTTAGAGCAGAAGGCACTTTTACCATTCTATTAATATTCTTCACAAGTCAGTAAACATTAGGCATCAGATTCTTCTAGACCAAAGATCAATAAATAATGCACTTAAGGATTCTAAAAATTATTTTTAGCAAAAGAAGCAATTACTGTCTCTTCACTTCTTTCCCTAGTGCCAATGAGAGCTGCTGCCTACTACCTCTAAGCTGTGTGCAGGAGAAAACACTGCCCACTCCTGGAAAAAACAGACAAATGGAAGCTAGTAACTCAATACCCCATTTCTGAAACCACTAGTAAATCTTATATATTGTAAAACTGCTTTGAAGTCATGTCCAGCATATTGTGCCATGTCCCTTATATAATAACTAGAGGCTTGATCACCCTTAACTGCCCTCCCCTGCCAGCCCGATCACCCCCAACTGCCCTCTCCTGCTGGCCTGATCGCCCACAACTGCCCTCCCCTGTCGGCCATCTTGTGATGACATGAGGGCATTATGTGAGGGTGTGAGGACCACCTAGGCTTTTATTAGTATGGATATCCCTAATAAATAACTTTAGAGTTAAACACAATGCCTGAAAAGTGTTTTTCTTTAAAAATGGTAACTGTGAAAAATAGGTATTCATGCAAAATCTACCTTGTATAAGTCATAAGGAGCAGACTAGGCACTTTAAATCCCCTGGGTTTTATTTTGCTTTTTAAAGGTATAGCACTACAAATCTAGCTGTTTGACTTTGGACAAATCATTTACCCTCTCAGGGTTAGTTTCCTTGACTATAAAACATGGGCTTTAATAACATTAGATGAGTGCTTTTCACATCTTTTTCTTCTTATCAGAGAAACATTATTTTCATAACCTACATGGCATCTCCATATGTAAATAGATAAAAGAAAGCTGCTTCGCTAAGGCTGGGGTTGAAGGCCAAAGGCCCACCACTCGCCATGCTCCCATCAACCTCTCCACCTTTAATTGGGAAAGCAATTTGTGTCAGCTCTATGCATTCAGCTGCCACAAATTCCCTTTAGATATGAGAAGTATAAGTGATTAAGAATTGACAAAATTTTTATTAATTTATCTTCACATTCCATGGACTATGTCTGCTAGTCTCACTTTAACATTGATGAAAACAAAATAAAAGATTCATACCTTTACAGAGACTGTCATATAAGCTCTCAACAGTTAAAAGCAAGCTCTTTTCCATAATTAATCCAAATACAGCCACCCAATGTTTTTTAAAGCATTGTATTAAATGCATTAGAGTCCACGGTGGTTTCAAATACAGCATCTAAAAAATATTTAGAAAAAAATAAGCATATACTGATTTTTTTATTATTCCTATTATTTAAAAAAAGTAGTTTACCCTAAAACAACACAGGTTAGAGCTTAGCAGGTCCAGTTATATGCACAGTTTTTTCAATAAATATGTACAGTACTGTAAATATATTTTCTTAATATTTTTTCTTCAACTTACTGTATTGCAAGAATACAGTACATGATACATGTAACATAGAAATTATGTGTTAGTTAACTGTTTATGTTCTCAGTAAAGCTTCTGGTCAACAGTAGGCTATTAACAGTTAAATTTTTATGGAGTCAAAAGTTACATGTGGATTTTCAACTGCCTGAGTGGTCATCATCCCAAAACCTCAAGCTGTTCAAGGGTCAACTGTACCTATTCAGGAAAACCAATATATATTTCTAAGAAAAATATAATTAGTTGAATTCCTTTTAAACTAAAAGATGTGTTATTCAAAGCCAAGCATAATCTTAAAATGATTCCATTACAAATTCCTTTGTAAAACTGATTATCAGTATTAATCCTTATAATTTCAGAAACTACATGTGCAAAAAGAAAACATAGTTCTAATGAAAAACATAATTTTGATTAACAAAGATCAACAATCTTTTTAACATGGTCATTTCTGAGGAATTCAATCTAATTAGTTTCATATAATTGGTATAAAAAATCATTATAGAAAAAAGTTGCCAATTATAATTGACACCTGCTATACTCTGACAAAGACGTTTATAAAGAAGATTGATCATTTAGTACTACAAAATGTCAGCATGTCCTTCATATAAAATTACTGTCTATTATGAAATATGCACTTTAAACTGTTCTAGAATGTTATCATTTTTTCTAATTTTCATAATATGATCAAGAGCAAATACATAAGCAAATATTAGTATCTAACCAAATATCTGGAATAGACACAATCTACAATTGATGGGGATAATGTTTCTCCTAGCTATAAATGTAAATAGCAAACAAGCATTAAACAAAAAAAGCCACCATTGCCAAATGTGGTATTTTACTGACCGGAGAAAAGATCTAAATCTAAAGACAATTCAAAATATCTTGCTAATATGATCAAATTTATACTGATTCTCATATTTATGTGACATAACCAAAATATACCTTTCTTTTCCTGAATACATCTTACTTAGGGGAATTCCCTATACAAGACATTTTGACTCAAACTAATATGAGAGAAATTTTCTGAAATCAAATGAAGCTCCATGGGGGCAAAGTGTCTGACACAGCAGATGCACAATAAATATTTGTTCACTAAATGACTGATAAAATATACTAGTAGCCCTAATCTTTTGGAAATGTCTACCATTTAATTTTTTAAATGTTATTTCAAGAAAAAATATAATGTAATATAGATTATTACTATAAAGTTTACTGAGAACTATTTCTTAAAATAAGGTAACCAATCTTTAGCAATAAAAAAGAACTTTTTAACTAATAAAGTTGAAATAATCACCTCCATCCAAAGGTTTCCAAAAGCAATTTTCATTTCTGTTTCTAATATTGAAGATAAGGCTGTTCCAAGAGATTTTTCAAGATCAGATACTATGCCTTCAAGTAGAATGAGCAGTCCAGAATTTGCAGATTCTTCCTCATTACTCTTTCCCAAAGGTGTTTGCTCTTTAAAACAATTATAAGCTTTTTTTTAGGACACTAACAGTAAATATTTTACATATGTAATTAGTATTTGGCCATAAATAATAAGCATTTTATGTATATAATTAGTATTTTAATTACCTATAAAACAAACTAATAATTTTTAAAAATATATGTTTTTCTTGATTTCAAAAAGGAAGGGAGAGAGAGAGAGAGAGAGAAAGAGAGAGAGAGAGAGAGAGAGAGAGAGAGAAACATCAATGATGAACCCTAGCCAGTTTGGCTCAGTGGATAGAATGTTGGCCTGTGGACCAAAGAGTACTATGTTTGATTCCCGTCAAGGGCACGAACTTCGGTTGCAAGCTCCTTCCAGCCTGGCTCTGGTCAGGACTCATGCAGGAGGCAACCAATCGATGTGTTTCTCTCACATCAATATTTCTCTCCGTATTTGCCTCTCTCTAAAAATCAGTGGAAAAATATCCTCAGGTGAGAATTTAAAAAAGAAAAAGAAAAATCAATGATGAGAGAGAATCATTGATCTGCTGCCTCCTGCACGCCCTCTACTGGGGATTGAGCCTGTAACCGAGGCATGAGAGGACTCTAATCATGACCTCCTGGTTCATGGTTGGCCCTCAACCACTGGGCAACAAGGGTTGACACCAATACTTTATTTTAAAATCAGTATTTAGAAATATGTATCTCTAGTATCATTGTTTTAGATGCAACATAAACCATATTATATTAGAAAATGCTTTAGTTTTTTGACAAAAGGCAATTAAACAGTGTCACTGAAATAAAAATTTAAGAAATGTGTGAGTCCAGGGCCAGTGTGGCTCAGTTGTTTGGGGCATCATCCATACACCATGGGTGGGGAATCTTTCTTCTGCCAAGGGCCACTTGGATATTTATAATATCACTAATGGGCCATACAAAATTAGCAACTTAAAAATTAGCCTGCTGTATTTGGTCAAACATTTTATTAACTCATCCCTAAGGCCTTGCAAGGCCAGACCAAATGATTTGGGAGGCCTTGTATGGCTCACAAGCCCCACACCTGCCGTACACCAAAACGTCACGCACGGGTTTGATTCCCAGTTGGGGCACATAGCTAAATTTTGGGTTTGATCCCTGGCCCCAGTTGGGGTGCATTTGGAAGGCAATTGGTCAATATTTCTCTCTTTCTCTCTCTCCCTTCCTCTGTTCCCCTCTCTCTAAAAATCAATGAAAATGTTCTCAAGTGAGGATTAAACAAAAGAAATGTGTCTGATATTTTTAACTACAATTTTGGTTTTATTATTTTCAAAAAGAAAAATCATGAGAATGCTTTGATTCTGTGTACAGTAGAAAACTAAGATGTATGGATCAAAATATGTTTTCTTCCAAAAAGTAGTATATTCTTCCAATTGAAGCTCACATCAATAAACTGTTTTGAAATGACCAAAACCTCTGATTTAACTATTTTTATGCTCAAACCTTTTAAAATGAGTTTTGTTATTTTAATTTATATTATTTCATTGATACCTGAAAACAACTACAATTTCTTTATGGTAAAATTCAAAATATTAACTGGCTTATCTCTATAAACACAGACTAAGGATTTAAAATAATAGTAATATAATGGGCAAAATAAAAGCATGGTACCCCCCAAAAAACTATAAACTAAAATGTCCTGCCAAGACTGGTTTGGCTCAATGGATAGAGCGTCAGCTTGGGGACTGAAGGGTCCCAGGTTCAATTCCGGTCAAGGGCATGTACCTTGGTTGTGGGCATATCCCCAGTAGGGGGTGTGCAAGAGGCAGCTGATCGATGATTCTCTCTCATCGATGTTTCTAGCTATCTCTCTCCCTTCTTCTCTGTACAAAATCAATAAAATATATTTTTAAAAAATTAAAAAATAAAATGTCCTATTATTCTTTCTAAATGGCATTTTGAATATTATGACTAAAGAAGTTTTACTACCAGAAAGGTCAAATAAGCAGCAAATGTATATATGAATTTTTGTACCATTTTATATAAAAGTATAGACAATATTAGAGATTTCAATAATTATTTTCCCCACAGAGGGAAAAGGTAGTATGTGTTTTTAAATTATGTCAGGCTTAATATAATACTCCATCTAATATCACACTCTATTATAGAACGAAATGTTCGGGGGGAAAAAGAGATTATTCTGGTCAGGGGAAAAAGCTTTTGCTTTCTTAACAGTTAATTTAAAAAGAACTAGTACTAGAGCCAAGTTTTCTATTATTGAGTTTTTACAGTATTAATAGAAAGCTATGAATATGAAGCTAATTTTAAAAAGGAACTAAAGCCCAGCTGGTTGAGCATCAATCTATGAACCAGGAGGTCAAGGTTCAATTCCCAGTCAAGCCACATGCCTGGGTTGCTGGCTCGATCCCCAGTGTGGGGCGGGCAGGAGGCAGTTGATCAATGATTCTCTTTCATCATTGTTTCTATCTCTCTCTTTCTCCTTTCCTCCCTGAAATCAATAAAAAATATATTATTAAAAATTAATAAGTAAAATAAAGAAACTAAATAGATCTACTTCAAATGAATATGTCCCAAAGCCACTATTAACTTAAAAAGTATACTCTGCAAGGTACAAAATAGTATGCACAAAATAATTATAAATCTGTAAATTTGCTTGTGTGAGTGAACAATAAACATTCAAGTTAATTTATATAAAGTATATGTAAAAGACAATATACTGTTAAGTTTTCTTTTGGATTATCATTGTAATTTTCATCCATTTCTACCATCTATGTGAGCAAATATCACCAATGTTATTTTAAATGTACAAGATAAAAATTTTCTATATAATTACAACTGTTATCAATAATCTTAGTATATAAAATAAGATATATTTATAGTTATTCATAGTAATATTACCTGCTTTCAACTGTTGCTTAGATGCACAAGGCTGATGACATGTAACTGTGTTTAGAGACACATTTAAGAACTCTGCACTCAATTCTTCTTTACTGAGTGACTTCACACCACTTATTAGGCCTTTGTTTCTTAAATTTCTATCATCCCTATGGTTGGTTAAAAAGAAAAAAAGTATTTTATTTTTTATTTTTTTATAAGATAAATCAAATGGCAGCTCAAAATACTTAGGATCTAATCAGAGGTTTGTAATTCTCAGCATATATATTAATAAGTGATCAATTTTTTTAAATAGGGAAAATAAAAGAATTAACACACAATTGAATCACATCATATGAGCTTTAGAGAATATTAATTATTACATATTGAGTGCTCAAATTTACTTAATCTAAACTCAGAACGATTAGCATATTAATAATTTTATTTCAGTCTTCAACAAACTGAGATGAAATTTTGTAGATTAAAAAAACAAAGAAACACAATTTAAAACCTAGAAATAGAAATCTGTGATGTTTCCTTTAATACCAAAAAGAATAACTATCTTTAAAGAGAGATAAAATAATAACTGACAAGCCCCATAACAAGAAAAATCTTAGGGCCATTCATTTTCACAGAGAATTTAAGCATGATCATGAAACTGTAAATACTCCGTTTTACAGTGATTAGAATTCAGACTAAAATGGGAAGTTAAAAATGTTCTCAGTTCTTTTAGAGCCTTTCGCTCTCTTTTGTTTTTTGAATTTTTATAAAACTTAATTTGACCTAAACAGAGGATATGCCTAGAAGCAAGATCTCAACAGACTGAGATAAATGCTTTCCAGAGCCTTTTCTCATACATGATGAATGCAATCTTGGTTAACATTATGGCAGTTTCACCTCAGAGCTAAGTTATGAAAACAATAGTTGAGAATGGAGGAAAGCAAGGAAGAGGAAGAGAGAAGGGGAAAAAACCTCTGAGATCACACTGTATAGTATGCACTAAGTCTTCCATATATAATATGTGACTAAATACAATAACCTCATGAGACAGGTGTTCTTCCTCTCTTTCTATTTTACACAGAGGAAACTAAGTTAAGCAACCTTTCAAAGTCACAAAGCTGATAAGTGGTAGATCCAAGACTCCAATCCACGCACCAAGGACACAATTACAACGAAAATGACCCCTTTCTCATGGACCAATTAATTAACCTTCTTGCCACATAACTAAAAAATGTCAGATTCTTATTTCTAAACTATCTCATTGGGATTTTAAACTGATATTTCCCTGCTTTTCAAAAGTTTTCTGAATATTATATATAAATGAAATTGAAATGAAACTCATCTACTTGAGATTTAAATCTTTCGTAGCAAAAATGTGAGATAGTACAGCATGGGGAATGTAATTAATAATACTGTATTGCATATTCAAAAAGTGCTAAGAGAACACATCTTAAAAGTCTTCATCACAAGAAAAAATATTTTTTATAATTATGTATGGTGATAGATGTGTTAATGACTTAATTTGGTGATAATTTAATAATATAAAAATGTTGTACACCTGAAATTAATATACTATGTGTCAATTATACCTCAATAAGAAGAAAAAAAGAAAAGAAGGAATCTTGGTCCCCAACATATGTTATCAGTTTGACTCAAAGAACCTTATAAAATTCAAAAAATGAACATGAAGTATAATTGAATATGCTTACTGGCAGACTTATATAGTATGCATTTTTTTAAGTCCTTGATATGATAGATTCAGTATGATTTTTTAAAATTCTTTGGTACAATCTGCTACTTTTTAAAACATATTTCTATTGATTTCAGAGAGGAAGGGAGAGATAGAGAGAGAGAAACATCAATGATGAGAGAGAACCACTGATTGGCTACCTCCTGCAAGCCCCACACTGGGGATCAAGCCCATACCCTTGGCATGTGCCCTTGACTGGAATCAAACCCAGGACGTTTCAGTTCACAGGCCAACACTCTATCCTCTAAGCCAGACCGTTTAGGGCCGATTTTTACTACCTTTTAATAAAATAATAAATGACCATTAAACTTACGTGCACAGAATAACAAGAGAACTAGGGAATAATTCCTGGTATTGAAGGCAGCATTTTAATACTCGATCATCATTGTTCTCATCACTGAATCCATCTGCAAATTTAGTAAAAACAATTATCATTCAGCACACTAGAAACCTGGGTACTGTACTTATATACCAAAATCTGAACTGTACTTATATACCAAAAGCATCTAAAACAAAAAAATCTTTGTAAATAAAAGGAAGATATAACATAGCAAAACACCTTAAGAATTTTGGATCTAGAACTCAGGTAGCATCTAGTTGTGAGATGGAAAAAGTTTTCAGTTTTCTACTAAAATGGAATAAGATCTACCTATTAATAAACTCCAGAAAATATGATCAGGGCTAGAAACCAAAAGCTATGAATTCTAGTCTCAATTCAGTCAATTAGAGATTATTAGTAAATTATGATTATATCATGTTTAAAATGATGCCAACTTAAAAGAGATCTGTAAAGATTATGAGTAACTATTCTACCAGCAACAGAATCACTTTCATGGGCCTGCTTCTCCTTATTCTCTAACGCAGTAACATTTAGAGATGTACAGGAAAAGGCAGAGAACAACAAAAATAATCTCTAACAAATGTTTATCAGAGGCTGACAGGGTGTCCTCTGACATTCTTCTAGATTTAAAGCAGGTGGTAAAAGCTTGGTTTTTGTGAAAATATTGGAATGTGCAGAAATAGAACCAAAAACATTGATTCTCCTAGGTCCTTAGCCTACCTGCCTCAGAACTCCCACGGTGCTTGCGAATAATAGAGATAGCAGGACCATACTCTCAGACCCACTTCTGGATAATAATTTTTGGAGTCTGGACCCAAAGACTGATTTAAGCACTTAGGAAGTCCCTTACACACTAAAATTCAAAACATACTAGCCAATTAGCAATGTTACCAGATTATGTTTTGTTTCCCTCAAACTTTACCATGATATATACTTAGTCCTCTGAACATTCAAATGAGAAAACTCATTCATTCCTACAACAAATACTTAGGTCACTGTGCTAAGTAATTGGATATGCAAAGACAAACTCTTTAGGAGCTCATAATCTCATCGAGAAGTCTAGACAAAACTCAGCTGATCTCAAAACATGAGCCTGAAGGAGATTTAATTCAATTCTTTAATCAGACAACCAGTGAGGCAGACAGACATATATTACAGCAGCCAATTTCCCTTCTTTTAGCTCACAGAGAAAATACCACAATAATGCAAAGTAGGCAGTTCGAAATCATTAGATGAGTTTAAGTCACTGAATCCACAGACAAAAGAAGGTTTAAAAGTTATAATGTACTGCTCTAAAGGTATCAAAGTTCAAGAATATCTATCTGTTCTACCACTTTTTCTAGGATACATGGGGCTGGAAAACACACCTAAAACCACAAGACTATTCATGAAATATTTATTCAATAGGTTTTAATTTTATGTCATTAATATTTTTCAAAATATAGTATTCTTTCATATACTATAGCATTAAATGTAACTTCAATTGTTAGACAGTCAAGTTGTTTCAAATTTTTTGCTGTATAAATGATGCTGTGATGAACATTTTAATATAAATCACTATGAGCATCTCTGATTATTTCTTTAGGATATATTTTTAGGAAGAGAATTATATTTTTAGGCTTCTTGATATACACTGATAAATGCTCTCCTGAAAAGTTACTAATTCATAATTCCCAAAGTACTAAACCAATGTAAATGCTCCTACCAGGTGTTGGGGCAAAGTAACTTTCTAAATTTAGAAGCAATAAAAAGCAATTTTTTAAAAAGTTAAAGAAATTAACAACATTCAAAATGACCAATAGACATGGAGATATATGCAATAAACAAAGGACTAACTACATTTCTTCCTTTTTTGAATTACCTAATACTAATCTTCATTTACTTGGGAAAAGGCATATTTAGTTTTTTTAATCAATATGTATAAGCTTTTCATAAACATGGATACAAGAATTATCACTACTTGAGGCCATAAACCATTAAGTACTTTACATATCATCTGACATAATTACACAAATAATCTATTATTATATCTACAACCTTATAACTAAAAGCAACTTAACAAATCTAAGGTCAAATAAGATTCAAATATTAAAGTGAAACGTGGAGTTCAAGGAAGACACCCAGAAACTGAAACAACACAGAAATTTAAGATAGCTACAATGATTTATCCTCCTTAACCATCAAAAAGCACAGGCTGAAGAGGCCAAAGCATTAAAAAAGCACATGAAAATGGAAAAGTCAAAAGAAACATAGTAGTAAGCATCTAAAAATACTAAGAATGGCCAAAATATTTCTTCTCAAATGAACTCTTCTAAACTAATTATCAAAGCTAATCGAGGAAAGAAATTTCTGTCTAGAACAAGTGCTTAATCCACATGTGTCAAACACAAGGCCCTCGGGCCAAATCCGTCCCGCCAGGCCTTGCAATGTGGCCCGCACCGTGCTGTCATCACTGCACTCCGCTGTGTTTCCATCACAATGACAGTTTATGACTGTTCAGTAAACCATTCGGCCCGCGATTTAGGCTGGATTTTAGATTTTGGCCCCTTCTCTGATTGAGTTCGACACTCCTAGCTTAATCTGTGTCTCATTTCCTCATCAGTAAAATGGGGCCAATATGACTATATTCCACAGTACTATAAAGCCTGAATGAGATGTTAGGTTTAAAACTTTTGGAAAAGGGTCTGGAAGATAATGGACATAATTATCTATATTATTATATAATCAAATATCATTTGTATCAACAAACTAAAAAAAAGATTAAGTAAACAAAATTCCTATCTCTTATTAAGCACCGGGACTTTACGGAAATGATGGATTACATAAGGGGTTAGTTTTGTTAATTGTGTGGTTGTTTAAAAAAGAATCTTATCTGTTATCAACACATATCTCAGTATTTATGGGTAAAAATAATATGATATGATATTTGGAATTAATTTCAAACTATTATAGAAGTTCCAAAAGTTAGGGAAGAAGAGAAAAAGTGATGAGAGATTCTAAAAAAGAATGGCAAATGCTGATAATTGCTGAAAATGAGTGATAAGTACAAAGGGATTCATTATATTATTTTCTCTATTTCTGCATTTGAAATTTTGCATAAAAAAAAAGAAGAAAAAGACCATCTAAGGTGTTCAATTTAATGTATTCAAACATTTTAATATTTTTTAAACTCTATTAATTGATACTTATTTGAGATTTTCCTTTGAAGGTTCTTCAACAAATCACACGAAATTCCTATTTAGAGTATATAAGTATTATACTTGGAATATACTAATAAATATTTATAAATGGAATGAATAAATGAATGGTGGAGGCCCTTTTTCTTCAGACTAAAGACTTAACAGATGTGCCAAAAGCCTCTCAGCATTAATATCATAATTATATTCCTACTAGAATGAATTCTTTCATATCTTGTGGTAAATATGGGTATATAGTAGACAATATAAATCCATGATATTTATAACAATGTAAATCTTAATATATAAATAATTATGAATTGGGAAGAAACAAATTTTTAAAGAATTAAATAAATCTTCTAAATGGATGTATAAACTCTAAAGAGGCTAATCAACTGAGTTACTCGGACAAGACAATAATAGTATTTTTAAAAAAGAATCCAAAGTAGTATATTATTATATATACAACTATGTACATAGAACCATATATCACTATCTGTGAAATATAGACATAACCTAAGAAGATTTAGGAGAAGCATAAAATTAAAAATCAAAGACCCCCAATCTAAGCCTAATAGAATACCCCAACCAATCACTATATCCTGCCATTTTACATATCAATGGTTATAAATTTTTTATAAGTTTTGCACCATTTCCCTCCTGTAATGAATCAGTCCCAACAAATCTTAATCAGGAAGTACACGAGAGAACAATACCTACAAAGTTTTTGAGATGCAAGTTGTATTGATTGACCCCAGAGTTTTCTATCTTGACTTTTGAGACTGTCATTGATGAAACGAACCGCAGGTATAGCTTTGTGCTGGGCATATTTCAGTAGTTTTCCCGCCTTCATACGATCTAGCTCTTGTACAACTACCCAGGGAATTATTAACACAAGCCTGTCAAAGCCTAAAAAAATAAAGATGTCATAGAAGTCAAGAAATATTTAGTTACTAAATCACATATAAAAAATGGAAATAAAAAACAGATGTGTCAAAAGAATATTACAAAAATAAATACTATTGGCCAAAACCGGTTTGGCTCAGTGGCGTCGGTCTGTGGACTGAAAGGTCCCAGGTTCGATTCCGGTCAAGGGCATGTACCTTGGTTGCAGGCACATCCCCAGTAGGGGGTGTGTAAGAGGCAGCTGATCGGTGATTCTCTCTCATCGATATTTCTAAATCTCTATCCCTCTCTCTTCCTCTCTGTAAAAAATCAATAAAATAGATATAAAATAAATAAATAAATAAATAAATAAATACTATTGAAGATGAAAGAAGAGTCCATTTAGGTCTAGGTTAACCTTAGAAGGATCTTTTTTTTTTTTTTAAACTTAAGCTGATTATGCTTAATATATGCTTAATAGTATATCCAGAAAGAAATGCGCTGGGGGAAGGAGAAATACCCATATCACTGTTAACATAAAATATCAACTCAAATAAAGTCAGAATCAGTAAATATGTTTCATAAATACCTGGGATTTCTGTTGTCTTCAAAATTCTAACAAATTTGAGATGATTCATCAGAATATTTGTATCAATAACAATTAGAAGATGTTTGTCTGAAGCAGTATTTGCTAGAGAAAAAGAGCCAAGTCAGGATTTCATAACACTTAAAACAAACTTCTTTAAAAACTAAAATTTTGATGTCATAGAACTTTGATAGCATTAAGAGAAAGAAGTCCTTCAGACAATTCTTAAGAGAAGGAACAGTAATAATTAATAATCTACCAGTAGAATATTATGAATTGTCTATGGATTAATTTATAGGGCCCTTGTGAGAGAATCAGGTGAATAGACATGAAAACGATAAACTGAAAAAATCAATGTGAATATGATATAGCATTACTATTTTCATATACAATTCAAAATTGCATACTAATAGATTTTGGATAATATCCATCATTATCTTCTCCCACTAGTAAGAATGATCAAAACTTTACCATATAAATAAGAAATCCAGGCATATAATAACTTCAAGCAATTTGCATTATTTTTGATTAGTGCTTTTACTTGTTAAAAGTTACAATTAATAGCAGAAATGCCCCTTGGCAAAAAGAGAAACAGAAGCTATATCTGCCTAATAATGTGAGAGATATAAAAACAAATGATAAGACAAATATTAGACCTATCCCTAGAGCTAAAAGAAATACACTGTTCTTTATAATTTCAAATGAGTATATTTTAACATTTTTCATCCAAATATTATAGAAATTGAATGTTGGCATATTCATTCTTAAGAAAGCACAGGAGACTATAAATATTGTCATCATGTGGATATCAGCTATACCAGCAGAGGAATGCACATCATCTTCTACCAAGTCAATCTCCATGCTCGATAACTCTCCAGGAGGAGGGACCACAGGCAAATCCACAGTTTTCCCCACACGTGCAGCATGAAGCTCTTCTACTATCTGCATCTAAATTGTAAAAGACGTGCAGTAAAATATTTTCAATTATTTACTCTGCAGATTAATTAGAAAGCAATTAATTCTTAATTTACTTAAAATGAGATGGCTTATGGGATGAAAAACATTAACAAAAATATGGATGTAGCATGGTAAAAGAATACAGACTTGTAAACATATACAGGGTTTTTAAAAAAGCTCTTCTCTTAATATTGCTGTAACCTTAAGCAAGCAAAGAATTTAACCACCTTGGGTCTCAGTTTGTTCATCTATAAAATAGGAATGTTAAATATCTATTTCCTTTTAGTATTTTTGTGAAGATTAAATAAAATGCTACAAAGTTCCTGTCACAAGGCCTAGTACATAGTAGACTCCCATATTAAGTTATTCTCATCCCCATTCTTACCATAAAGTATTCTAGAAAACAAATGTATTTATATCTAGATGATGAGTGCTCTGCTTGAGATTTCTAGGAAAAACTAAAATCTAAATATAGCTTTAGAGCAAAGGGGAAAATCTGCCCATAAGACAGAAAAATACAACTGACTGTCATAAATAAAAACTCGTCATAATCAATATGGGTTTTAGTCTTCTTAAAAATAGGAAAATACATTGTTCTAAAAATCTAATTTTAATTCAGGACTAGGTAACACAAAATCTGCAATAATTCTATGACGTTCAATCAGGAGATTCTAGCTGGGAAAATGATGCAGCAGGTAAAAAAATAAATAAATATGTCTGCACTTTTGCTTTCACTGAATAACATTTTCATCTTATTGCAGATTTTTAAAAAATGGTAAAAAAAAAAAAATGTTAGTATCAAACTGCATTCTGGAAAGTCCAGGCATAAAGTATGCAAATTTATTTTTATTAAAATTTGTAATCAAAATTTATGTAACTTGTGGGCAATGGGCTCTATGCTCTTTATTCAAAACAGATTCAATGATTAGAAACAAAAGCAAAAAGGTGATTAAGTAAGTATAAACACTTTTCCAAAAAGTTTTTCATGACTTCACAAGAACTTACATATTGATTCAGGACCGATATCAGTGTTATTTTCATATTACCATATATACTTCATAAAAAGTCTTTATTTTTATTAAAATAGAAACTGTTTGACTTAATTTCATTAAAAACATTAAAAGTAAATAAGTATACTATTAACCTCTTGATCTGTATCTGGAATACTTTCATATGACACTGAAGAACATTGTGCTTCAAAACTCTGAAATGAGAAGTAATTTTATTAGTTTAGAATGAAGGATATATCTACAGTGGGATTGTCTAACCTTGGCACCACTGACATTGGGGTCAGGTAACCATGATGAATTTCTACCTCACAGATTTGTAGTACTAAGTTTATAAAAGTAGTATATAAACCATAATTTCTAGAACATTAATTTGTAAAGCTGGAGATACGGTGCAATCTGAGAAAGGTCTGTATCAAAGGACTGTAAAATCTAGGCAACAAAATAAGTATTTTCTTTTAAGAAAGCATACCAGGATTACTACTGCCAGAAAATACAATTATTTCCCTGTAAAGTACAATGATTATTTTATTAAATTATCTATTAAAAAATTTGTGAGGAAAACAAAACAATGAACATAATACTAAGATGATTCTATACTGTCAACCATATACTGAAGACAATATTTTCAAGAACAATGATTACTTGCTGCTCCTATGTCTAAATGACTTTAAGTCAGATAAAGCTACGATCAATGAACAGTTTATAAAGAGCTTTAATTCCAATAACTGGAAAGTAATCATGCAAAAATGTCTCCTCTACAACTTAATATTCATCTTCCTGGGTGTTCTATAGAAGCTGGGTTTCAAGAAGAGCATAAGAGACTGCCACAGTGTTTTTGTTTTTTTCTTAATTCTCACCAGAGGATTTTTTTTTAATTGAGGTTAGAGGGGGAAGGGGGATATATAGAGAGAGAAAGAGAAAGAGAAACATTGATTGGTTGCCTCCCAAATGCACCTGACTGGGGAACAAACCCAAATCTTGGTATGTGCTGACTGGGAATCAAACCCACAACCTTTTGGTATACGGTACGATACTCCAACTAACTGGGCCACAGAACTTTTATTATTATTATTATTATTATTATTATTATTATTTTATTATTTATTTCAGAGAGGAAGAGAGATAGAAACATCAATGATCAGAGAGAATCATTGATTGGCTGCCTCCTGCACACCAGTTACTGGGGGGATCAAGCCCACAGCCCGGGCATGTGCCTTTGGCCAGAATCGAACCTGGGATCCTTTGGTCCACAGGCCAATGCTCTATCCACTGAGCCAAACTGGATAGAGCAATAGTGTTTTTTTTAAAGGACTATCTATAATTGTGTATTTCTTCATTTTTACGCATTCCCTTCTATTGGAGCCTTGATACTTGCCAGGATATCTTTCTAGACGTTGGAATTAAAGGGGCCAAATACATGAACCAGCACATATCTTCCTGACTAAATTTGAACCAGCCCTCTATGATCATTATTAGTAATGGGAACAATATTGGTCTTTGCTAGAACTTACATTCTTTATTTTGTACCACCTTACCTGGGTCTGGTGTTCACTAGAACTTGAATCATTACTTTCTTGATGGTCAAGATGATATTTTCCTTTCCACTCACAAACAGTCTGCTTACAAGTGAAATCTGAAAACAAATGTTTATTTGTTTGCTTCATCAAATTTAATGAAACCTGCAAGTTTTCCAGGCACCCTTTTTTCTTCTGCTTAGTCGTTGACTTGCTGGACTCTGAAAGGAAGATGTTTTCTTCTGCAGGCTTCTGGCGGGAATCTTGGGATTTTACTGGGATTTTGAAACTGACCTTCCTTCTTCTAGATTCAGGGGGTTCCTTAAATATCTTGTTGGAATTATAATCCTGAGAATATTGGGTTCTCTTGCACTTTTCCAAAACACATTTTTCAAAACTGTCTCTATATTTATTGTGCCTTTCTTTCTTGAGATCTTTCATCTTCTGCCTGTGAGCAAGTAAATGAGGCCGTAGTTTTTCATTTGCCTGGCCTTCAGCTTTAGGTTTCACATCTTTGGCAATTTTAGGAATGCTAAGGTTTTTAATGCCATGGTCAAGGCTACTCCTAATATTTGGCAATTTAATATCTTTAAAATCTACACATTTACTTATATCTTTTTTAGTTCCATTTGAAGGACTTTGTGAAATAATTCGATTATCATTGGAATATGATGCTTCTTGAAGTTTAACAGGTTCTTGGGATGACGAGCTGATTTTTGGTCTCTTTCTTAGAGTGTCAGTGTCTACATTCAGTCTGTAAAGTAGCACAGAAACCTAGGTTACATTACAGTTATACACGATTATAATAATTTGAATTGTATCATTTTAGTTAGGAAATAACAGAACTAGCCTGATATATAATTCATAAAAAGTAGAAATTACTACATTAGGAATGAAATGAAAAGGATCAGTCAACAACTGGTGTTGGAATAATTGGCTTGCTATTTGGAAAACAGTACAACAAATTTAAAGCTTTATAAAATACCCTGAGAACATAAATTCCAAATAGATTAAACATTTAAGTGCAAAATAGTTATTACCATAATTGCTATACTTCATATAAATCCCTTAAAAACCATCAGAGAAAAATTTATCTAATTTGTTTTTTTTTAACCTGAATTTTTAGTAGAGAACTTCCTAAATTTAAAAGCCCTGGGGGGGGGGGGGGGAATCACAAGGGAAAATAATAAATGTTAATGATTATTTACTTACACATTTTAGCATATTAAAAATTAATAAACAAAACTTAAAGAACTGGAAAATGGCATTTGAAATAATATATATACAGCCCCCAACTGCTCCCCTCCCTGACCAGGCACGGGAGCAGTTGGGGGCAACGAGGTCAGCGGGGGGTGGGGAGGCCTCCCTCAGTTGGGGGCAACCAGGCTGGCAGGGGCTGTTTGGGGCTGGCAGACAGGTGAGCAGTTAGGAGCCAGCGGTTCCAGATTGTGAGAGGGATGTCCTGGATTGAAGAGGGTGCAGGTTGGGCTGAGGAGACTCCCCCACCCCCTAGTATAAAGATAATTATCCAGCCCTAGCTGGTTTAGCTCAGTGGATAGACCATCAGCCTATGTATTGAAAGGTCCCAGGTTTGATTCTGGGCAAGGGCAACTGCCTGGGTTGTGGGCTCAGTTCCCATTGTGGGGGGGAGGGGGACGGGATCTCTCTCATCATTGATGTTTCTCTCTCTCTCTCCCTTCCTCTCTGAAATCAATAAAAATATTTTAAAAAGAAAATTATCCAAATTTTATTAGCCTCCTGACTTCTATTACTCTATAACAATGAAGTTATGTATCTTTTAAAAGTATGAAAAAATCAAATTACTTGAGATAAAAATCTACATTCTATTTGAGTCTTTTATATAATGTAGAATTCTGATAGACTTTTTATTTCACTCCACTTTTCCTTGAACTTATATTAACAAAGTTAAAAAATTATTATCTGTAATGTAGCTAGAAATATTTGCATTCAAAACAGTACTAATCAAATAAGTAAAGGATTTTGCAAGTCTAAATATTTTAGTCTCACAATTTTAGACCAAAAGAGTAAAAAAGAGGGAATTTACCTTTTCAGTTCATGTCTTCTTTTTGCGTTACAGTTCACAACGTCTATATGATCTGATTTCTGGAGGGGAAAAAAACTATCATTAAAGAAATATAAGTTGTGCAGTGGCACTACAGTTACTGGGAAGAGACTGAGAGACAATTTTTCCCCCATAACTATGTGGTAGTGAATAGGTTGACACAATAATTTAATTAATCCTTCTAATAAACCTGGAAGATGGATATCATTATCAACCCCCATTTTACAGATAAAGTAGGCAAGGCTCAAATAGCAAATTATCTTCTGCAATGTCACAGGGCAGGGCAGCAGCAGAGCAATGACTTGAAACCAGATCAGTCTACTCTCTATTCTGCCACCCTGTCTATGTATTTGGATGAAACAGTGCTTAACACAAGAAAAATAAGAAACAGGATATAGTCCCTTTCTGAAAGAGCTTATATAGTAAAACAAAGAGAAGTAGAAGAGATATACAAATAGCCAAATGTAAAGATACAAGCAAGCAGAAAAGCAGAAAATGAGGCAATAAGTTGTAAAGTGTTTAAAACATCAACCACCAACAGTTAGAACATACCCAGAACAAAAGTGGACAAAATAGCCCTAGCCAGCCGAAACCGGTTTGGCTCAGTGGATAGAGTGTCGGTCTGTGGACTGAAAGGTCCCGGGTTAGATTCCGGTCAAGGGCATGTACATTGGTTGCGGGCACATCCCCAGTAGGGGGTGTGCAGGAGGCAGCTGGTCGATGTTTTTCTCTCATCGACGTTTCTAGCTCTCTATCCCTCTCCCTTCCTCTCTGTGGAAAATCAATAAAATATATTTTAAAAAATAGCCCTAGCCAGCTTGGCTCAGTGGATAGAGCGTCAGCCTGCGGACTGAAGGGTCCCAAGTTTGATTCCAGCTTAGGGCACATGCCTGGGTTGTGGGCTTGATCCCCAGTAGGGGGCATTCAGGAGGCAGCCATCAATGACTCTCTCTCACCATTGATGTTTCTTTCTCTCCTTCTCCCTTTCTCTCTGAAGTCAATAAATAAACATATATTTTTAAAAGTGGACAAAATATATGCTAAAGATTGAATATAGACAGAATAAAGATTAATGAGTAAAAGAAAAAGGCATTCTTGGCTAGAAGTGCTAGGCATTCTAAAAAGCTAAAGACGATCAGAACAAATTCAGTAGAGACAAAATACACCTGCCTAGCTAGAAGCAGAAGTTTTGAGGCCGAAGAAAAAAAACTAAAGAGTTAGGGTGTAACCAAATTTAAGAGCATTCTGAATGACAAACTTAAAAAGTGAGTGGAGGTTTTTAAAAGACAAAATATAACAAAATCAGCCGAAACCGGTTTGGCTCAGCGGTAGAGTGTCGGTCTGTGGACTGAAGGGTCCTGGGTTCGATTCCAGTCAAGGGCATGTACATTGGTTGCGGGCACATCCCCGGTGGGAGGTGTGCAGGAGGCAGCTGGTTGGTGTTTCTCTCTCATCGCCATTTCTAGTTCTCTATCCTTCTCCCTTCCTCTCTGTAAGAAAAATTAATAAAATATATTTTTTAAAAATATGACAAAATCAGTGTTTTAACGAGGTTAATATAGTAGTAACAGTAAGTTGAAATAGCAGTTTCATTATATGAAAAAAAAACATTTCTTAAAAACACAATTGTGTATTCATGGAACTTTCACTACTTTTTCCATATTACCCACAACTCTGTTGCTATCTTAACACAAACCTAACTTCAACTTGAATGAAGTTAAGTAATTCACCAACCACCCATGCACCAGCTTCACAGTTTAGTCTGCTATCACTACTTCCAATGAAGTGAGGATGGAAAGAACTTTGAACTTGGCTTTGTCACTGGGCACAGCAGGTCCTCGAATAACATTGTTTCCTTCATTGTTTTGTTATAACATTGATGAGATGCTGTAGGAACCTATCAATTAGCCAACAGTAAAACTGATTTCATTATAAATTGTTTCACTTAACATCATAGAACCTACCAACGACATTGAGAACTTACTGAACAATTTTATGTCCTTTGACAAGTCACTTGACCTTCTGGATCTCAACTTCTGAATCTGAAATGCTAACACTGTATCTGCCTTGGCTACTTCAAAATGAAATTGTAAAGACAAATACAACCATATATAGGAAAAGACTTTTAAAATGTCTAAATTTAGCCAAAACCAGTTTGTCTCAGTGGATAGAGCATTGGCCTACAGACTGAAAGGTCCCAGGTTCTATTCCGGTCAAGGGCATATATCTTGGTTGCGGGCACATCCCCCAGTAGGGGGTGTGCAAGAGGCAGCTGATAGATGTTTCTAACTTTCTATCCCTCTCTCTTTCTCTCTGTGAAAATCAATAAAATATATACTTTTTTAAATGTCTAAATTTATATAATGTAGTCTAAACCCAAATGACAGGTTCTATCAGCACAAAGAAATAAGGAACTTGATAAATGCTTTTTGGTGAATAGAAGGAAGAAAAAAAATCAACCTGGTTTTCTTTCCATTGGCTATCAAAAAGTAAGTATAATACATAGAAGAAGAAAAACTAATGAAAAAGTAGAGGCGAATTTATATTATAAGCCTTCTAAGTGTACATTCAAACTCTAATATAAATAATTTTCCGAGTTATTTATAGTATCTAAACACTCACCAGTTTCCTCTTCTCTGATGAAATGGATCTTACAGAGCAAGATGAGCTAGTTGAACTTGTTGAGGTTTTTTTATCTTTCTTATCCTAAGAATAGCATTTGGAAAAGAAGAAAGAAAAGCATAAAATAAAGCACATTATTTCATCACTATTATAAATCAACATTCTTTCTACAATAATAATAAATTTCAGAGAACAATATTCAAACGCACATAAACAGTTAAGAGAAAGGTAACCCAACTAGAAGAGAGACGCAACTCGAGCTAGATGCTTGCTCCAAAACCAGAGATGAGGTAGGATACAAGTGTTACAGCAGAAGGCCATCTGACAGCTCAGATAAGGGCACTGTGAGGTGTGGCAGCCATGGTGGAACTCAGTCTTCTATAAATCAAACCCATATATCCAGTTCTCTTTCACGGGGTACTGATTCAACAGATCCAAGACAAATATATTTTAAGTACACATGGTAGGTAAGACATTCTAGACAGTGGGGACAGAGTAATAAAAAAATTATAAAGTCTCTGCCCTCCTGGAGGTTAAAATCTAGAGTAGGAGTTTACAAATAAATAGTATATTCAGTGTGTCACACTATGATATGGGAAATGGGGTGAGGGGGAAGTAGAGAAAAGAATTGGGAACTATTGGGGGGGGGGGGGGAAGGGGGAGAATGAGGCAGCCACAATTTTAAAGAATAAAGACCTGAAGAAGGGATGGAACAAACCACGTGAATATGTAGGGTAAGTGCTTTTCCTTCAAAGGGAATAGTAAATAGCAGCAAGGGCAAAGCCCCTGAGGCAGGAATGCTGGCTTGCTATGTTCATAGCAAGGAAGCCATGGGGTGGGGAAAGCAAAGGTTTGGGATGAGAGGGAGAAGAGATGGGACGAGTAGGTCACTCTGCTGCCCAGCAAGGACTTCAGTTTTCACTTTGGATGAAGTGGAAAACCACCAGAAAGTACTGAGTAAAGGGGTGATATGATCTGACTCACATTTTAACAGGATAACTCTGGCTGATGTGTTGAGAACACAAGGAAGCAAAGATGAAAACAAAGACATCAATTTAGAAATTGCTGGCCCTGGCCAGTGTTGTGAAGTGGTTGAAGTGTCTCACAGCACTGAAAGGTCTCGGGTTTGATTCTTGATCAAAGGCACATACCTGGTGCCTTTCAATCGCCAGCCTTCTTTCTCTTCCCTTCCTCCCTCCCACTCTCTAAAAATCAATGGGAGCCCTAACTGGTTTGGCTCAGTGGATGGAGCGTTGTCCTGTGGACTGAAGGGTCCCAAGTTTGATTCTGGTCGGCTACGGGCACATCCGGGGGGGGGGGGGGGGGGGTGTAGGATACAGGAAGCAGCTGATTGATATTTCTCTCTCATTGGTGTTTCTAATTCTCTCGCTCTCCCTTCCTTTCTGTAAAATATCAATAATATATATATATATTTTAAAATCAATGGGGGGAAAATACCCTCAATGCTGAGTGAATGCAGAAGGAAGATGTGGGAAAGGGTCTAACGGAGAGTAACTTCCATGAAAAGGAGGATTCTGAAGACATTCAGAATTGAAGTCAGGAATGTCAATGCAAATTACTTAGTACCTCTCTAAGTTTCAGTTTCTTCATCTATGTAACTAGGACAATAGCAGTACCTACCTGATGGAGTTGTGAGGAATAAATAAAATAACAAAAGTAGAGAGTGGGCCAGAAGGGCAGAACAATATAGTTACATATGTCATTTTAAAACAGAGGAGTATGTTTTACATTACACAAAAATAAACTGTTAAAAACGGTGTCTTTGGTTAGTAAATAAAAGAATTCTTACTTCATCAAAGTGGGGTAATGAGGTGGTATCTTTTCTTTGAGACGTCTCTCTTTTTCCACAAGAATCTTTGGACATTTTGAAAAGCTAAAATAAACATTAAAAACACGTTATGTATATTTTAACACCACCGCAAAAATACACTCAAAATTATTCTTTCAGTTATTTAAAGACTGGAGTTTTACCAAATGATTTCCATTTGCTAACCATTCCTAAGATTATAGGATTCTCTCATTGCTCATTAGGAGGATTCTCCCTCATAATGATCTATCCTCTCCTCCAGCTTCATCTATCTCACTTCAGGAATGCCTCTCCAAACTATGCCCTTAGCCCTGACTTCTCTCTCGAGCATCTGGTCATCATTTCAACTGCCTGCAGGACTATTGCATTTTGTCCCACCTACTCCTCAAAACCATAGTCATACGTCTTCATTTTCCTGACACACTCTCAACTGTCACTCACTGAGTGAGATTTCAGGCAAATCAAACACATTTTTTGAGTCCCAGTTTCATTATATGTAAAACAGAGAGGGTTTTGAGGGACTTTAATAAAACAATGGATATTAAATGCCCTGCAGCACAAGGTAGATAATAGTAGGCCTTAAGTAAATACTAGCTAGGTCATCTAAGACATTGCAGCTTCTGTAGAGTTCAGGACTTTCTCTGTCCTGAACTCTAGAATGTCTCTGTCATTCTAGAGAAAGCCAGCCACCAAGTCGTGAGGATATTCAAGTAATCCATGGAATTCAAGTAGTCTGGACTCCATTCAAGTAGTCCCACCTCCCCCAAAAAACCGCCAAGGGTCGGGGATGGGAGCGAGCCACCTTGGAAGCTGATCCGGAAGCCCTAACCAAGCCTTTACATGGCAACACCCTTGCCATGTATCTTCACATCCTCATAAGAAACCCCGGACACCCAAAAAGTCATTTGTGAATTCCTGACCTGCTGAAACTGTGGTGTAAAAAAATGTTTATCATTTTAAGCCACTAAACGTTGGGATAAATTTAGGCAGCAACAGGTTAGTAATACACTCTTTTTTTGTTTTGTTTTGTTAAATATATTTTATTGATTTTGTACAGAGAGGAAGAGAGAGGGATAGAGAGTTAGAAGCATCGATGAGAGAGAAACATCAACCAGCTGCCTCTTGCACACCCCTCACTGGGGATGTGCCCGCAACCAAGGTACATGCCCTTGACCAGAATCGAACCCAGGACCCTTCAGTCCACAGGCTGATGCTCTACCACTGAGCCAAACCGGTTTCGGCATATATATATATAAAACTGATTTTTTACAGAGAGGAAGAGAGAGGGATAGAGAGTGAGAAACATTGATCAGCTGCCTCTTGTACACCCCCTGCTGGGGATATGCCTGCAACCAAGGTACATGCCCTTGACCGGAATGGAACCCGGGACCTTTCAGTCCCCAAGCCGACGCTCTTGAGCCAAACCGGTTTCAGCAGTAATACACTCTTAATGTAATTCTTCAAACTAGGAAAATTCCTTTTTAGGATGTCGCAAGATCAGTAACCTTACTTACAAATTTTTTTTGTATGCATATAAGCGTAACTAATGGACACAGACACTGGGGGGGCGGGGGTAACCCGGAAAAGGTCAATGAGGGGAAAAATACTTTAAATAACAAAGAATTAGCCAGAACTGGTTTGGCTCAGTGGGTAGAGCATCAGTCTGCAGACTGAAAGGTCCCAGGTACGATTCTGGTCAAGGGCATATACCTTGGTTGCAGGCATATCCCCCATGGGGAGTGTGCAAAAGGCAGCTGATCAATGTTTCTCACTCTCTATCCCTCTCTCTTCCTCTCTGTAAAAAATCAGTTTTATATATATATATATATATATATATATATATATATATATATATATATATGCCGAAACCAGTTCTCTCAGTGGTAGAGCACCGGCCTGCGGACTGTAGGGTCCTGGGTTCGATTCTGGTCAAGGGCATGTACCTTGGTTGCGGGCACATCCCCAGTGAGGGGTGTGTAAGAGGCAGCTGGTTGATGTTTTTCTTATCGACGTTTCTTGCTATCTCTCTCCCTTCCTCTCTATAAAAAATCAATAAAAATATTTAAATATATATATATATATTTAAAACAAAACAACAAAGAATTAAAGAAAAAAAAATACTTTGGAAAACTCCCATGGAATGTACACGCTAAAATCTAACCCTTGTCCTCTCTTCTTTCCCAGCCGGTATGACAAGACTAGAACCGAACGTCGCGAACCAAGCTTTCCACTAACCACCCCGTCTATGATTCTTGGAAAACGGGACAACTACAGCGAGCCACCACTCGTTTCTCTAAGTTTTCACGTGTCATTTTCCCCCCTTTTTGAATGGCCTTGCACCTGAGACTTCAAAGCAGCTCCCCTCTTCCGTCGCCTGTAACGTTCGAAGCCATCCCGGACAGAACGGCCGCAAAACTTGTTTTCCCCCGCCCGCCCCGCGCGGGCTCTGGAGCGCGGCTCGGACCCCGGCAGGCCCGGAGCCAGAGGAAGAGCGGGGCTGGGGCCCCTGGAACACGGTTTAGGGAATCTGAATGACATCCATCCAGGTCCCCGAAGCTCCACACCCTCAGAGTTCTGGTTAGGAAAGCATGGATACCAGCGTGAGAGGGGCGGGCGGGCGGGCCAGGAGGTATGGGGGTTATTGACCCTAAGGCACCGGACGCTGAAGAAAGTGGGAATAACGTCAATTCCAGGGGAAAAAAAGAAAGAAAAAAAAAAAAGTAACAACAAAAAGAAGAGGGATCGGGTCCCGGGGCGGGTGAGGGTTGCGAAAGGCGGAGCGGGACACACCAACTTGAATCCGCCGGGCTGACAGGCCACCTCGTCAGCCGCTCGAGGACACGAATCGACGCGGAGCGAAGGGCAGCCCCAGAGGCAGGGCCGGGCCACAGAACCACACCTTTCCCGGGAGCTTGCGGGACCCCGGATCCGCCCACATTTCGCCCGCCCCATTTTATTATTTTATTTTTTTACATTTAGAGTAGAGCCGCCCCCCTGGATCCCCAGGCCGGCCGGCTGACGCCCAGGTCCCGCAGGAACCCGAATGAGCCTGCCCCGGTAGAACGTCAACGAATCCCCCCAGCTCCCCTCCTTACCAGCGCCGGCGGCGGCGGTGGTGGCGACTCCAGAGGCCCGGCCAAGGGAAAGAGACCCCCCCCCCCTGAGCGCGGGGCCCGCCGGGAAATGTAGTCCTGCACTCGGCTCCAGGTGACCACTGGGGGAGCCTTCACTCTCTCCAAGGACTTGGAACTCAGCCGGCTCCGCCCCCTCCCCGGCCGGGGCGCGGTGCACGCTGGTTATTGTAGTCTTTGGCTCGTTTGGGTGGTAGACGTCTGGAACGGGCACGCACAGTGGAAACAGAATGCTCTTACCTCATTGGTCGCCGCCCCCAATTCGCGTCTGCGCAGTGAGGGGCGGCGTCGTAACGCCTCGGGGCGGGGAGGAGGGGGGAAAGGGGAAGCGGATAGAACCGTGAACCGCTGCCTCTGGGTTTTAACTCTCCTGCAGACAGGCATTGGTTGCTGGTTCTTCCTCTTTTGTCTATTGCTCGGGTCCCCGCCTTCTCCCCGAGCTCCCCTCCTCCCCCGCCCTCCTCGGATTCAGCCCTCTGGGCATCCAAGCCCGTTTTCCGATCCCGCCGCCGTTGAGCTCACGCCTGGTCCCCGCGCGCACGGGTCTGGCCCACGGAGACGGTAACTATGGAGAATATGGCGGAGGAGGAGCAGGAGGAGGTGGTGGTGGTGGCTCCGGCCCAGGTCCCGACCTCGGCCCCGGACTCGGCTCGGGTCCCAGCTCCGGCGGCCCCGGACTCGGCTCCGACTCCGGCCTCGACTCCAGCCCCAGCCCCCGCCCTGGCGCCGGCGCCGGCCCTGTCCCCGTCCCCAGCCTCTGGCCCCGACGAGGCTGAAAACAGTAAGTGCAGGAGGCCCCGGTCTTCTCTGCTGCAGGAGCGAGAGAGGGCGTCTTGCTGGGGGAGGCCCTTCTTCCCCGGGGGTGGCTTTCATGGGAGAGGAAGGTGTATAGCGGGTCGGCAAACGGGTACAGAATGGAGAAGGCAATGCCCACCCACCTCGAGGACATTGCGATGAAGGTTATGTGTGTGTTTGGGGGGGGGGGGGGGGGAAGAGGTGCTGCAACATGAGTTTGAGGGCTTCGTTAAAGGGGGTCTTTTTTTTTTTCTAGTACAAAAATAGGAAGGGACACCTAATCTGGTAGTTTCTCTGAGCTTTCGTCACGGGGTCCTTTAAAAATGTGACACAGTAACCGAGGCAACCCTTGTGTTTATGGTAGCAGATCCTAGCTGCCAAGATTTAGAAACCGTTGCTCTCACCTAGGTTCTATGTCTGGAGACACACACACACACACACACACACACACACGATGGGTTTTTCTCATTTTTTCTACCGCAGTTTGCTCCCCAAAAGAATTTGAGAATGATGAGTGGGTGAATGGTCTACTAAATGATAGAGGTCTTCCCTCAGACACAAGTACCAATGGAGTTTTGTATTTCATCTACATCACAAGTCAGCTGTTGAAAATGATAGCCCATAGAATTGTTTGCGCTTCTGAATGTACTTGCATGTTTTCTGAGTGGTGATTTATTGGACCATAGAGGGCAAAGGTAGGTCCTCCTCATCATAAGGTCAGAGATAGGTCTAGGTGCAAAAGAAGGCCAGTTGTATGATGGTAGAGGGCAGAGGGGGTTCACTGAGTAGTCTCCCTCAGCAGGTGTGGGTTACAGCTTTAGGAAATGCATGTTACACATATGTAACAACTGAGAAGTTTGAAATGCCTTAGAAATATGTACGTTTAACCACATTTTAAAAGTTTTCTCTAGATGGTCTAGTTAGTCCTTAGATGTCAGTCATAAGTAGGCAAGATGAAGATGGCATATCTGAAATAGAACTGAAAGTTGAGGGAAAAGTAACAGAAGAAGTTGTAAACAAAACTCCTAGCATCTGATTTAATAAGAAGTTTATCTCTTGACTTCTGGATTATTAATGTGTTCCAGAAAGGGTGAGTAGACTTAAGCACAGATTGCCTGATACCTACTGTCTTGAACCAGAGAGTGACGTCAGAGATGCACATAAGCATGTCATGAAGCTTTAAACAGATCTCTGGGAGTTTTCATTAGTAGACCATAGGATTTTCCATTCGCTCTTCGAACTTACCAGGCTCCTTCCTTTTATTTTGTACTATTTAGTAGTTAGGATGATTTTTAAAAGCACATCTTTATATAGATACAGACCTTTGAACCATGGAAGCCAAAAGCCTTTATGATTACAAATGTTTCTCATTAAAAAATACAGTAAAAATTTTGTTTTTTAATAAATTTGAGAAGGAATGGCTGATAGTACTGTATTAAATTCCAAAATTATAGGCTCGGTGCTACTGCATCCAAAAAGCGATTTTTAAAAGTTATTTAACAGACTTCAGTGCCTGCTGTATGCAAGTCACTTAGCCATTACAAAGATGAATAAGGCCTCCCCCTGCCTTACTGCTTACTGATGGGGGGGGGGGGATTGCACCAAAGGGTAAACAGGCGCTGGGAGTGACGCTCAGAGAGGACAGCATTGTCAAGAATAAAATTTCAAAGGCTGATGGTTCTAAATTGTATAACCTAATTATATAATGAATATTAGTCTATGGCTTATCCTATCATCTCTTGTCTCATTGAGGATCTTTCCCTAAAAGTTATCACCTCCTAGCCTTGTATATTCAGGCCCCTACTTTGTAAACATTCTCTTTTAAAATTTAGAAGTATGTAATTTGAAGGATGTGTAATATTTGAAAAACCTGAAAGTGTGTTTCTGGAACTGGGTTTTGATTGTTTTTCTTCTCATTTTCAATTTTTTTCCCTTAGGCTTTCTTCCTCATGTTCATAGTTTCACCTAACAAAAGAACGTTTGATTATGTCCATTCAGAATCCCTCCAGAACTCCAAAAACTAAACTGCCTACTGGACTGTACTATATGAATGCCAGTAGTATATCAAACACACTATGTCAAGAACTAAATTTCTTCTTTCTTTTCCTCTTCCTCTATGCCATAAGCATTTTCTTCTTCCTTTATTGGTTAATGGTACCAGTATTCTCAACCAGTATTCAAGCAGTAAACTTGAAATATTATTGAATAGAATCATTCTTGAGTTTACTCTTCAGTCTTACTTTACACCCACATCCCAAGTTTGTTGCTTCTTTTTTTTAATTCATTTTTTTACCTTCTATTCTGTACCTATCTCTCACCTCAGTTATTGATCCATCCTTGGTACTATAGTCAGAGATATCCTCCTGAAACACAGTCAAATTGTGTCATTCACTTTCTCAAAAACCTGCAAAGACAGCATTGCCTAAAGAAAAAAGGTAAAACTAACTTGCATGGAATTTATGCCTTTTATGATCTGTACTACAATACATTTAGCTTGTATTTTTCTACCAACTCCATCTAGCCAGGTGTGGGATAGAAGTGGCTGTATTTTTTATACCACATTCCTTTGTCCATGGGATTACTTAAGTTTATAAGGCCAGCCACCAATCTGACTGAATTCTGTTCATATCTTAATGCCACTTCTTAAGTAAAGATATTGTCAGAGGCTCTTGTTGGAATTAATTGCCCCTTCCTCAGTATGTCCACCTTCTATTTACCCCAACTATTCATTTCATTCTGCCTTGTGTTATAGTTAGTAGTTAATCTCTCCTACCCGATTGAAAGTTCTTTGAAGATAGGAAACATGGCTTATGTTTCTTCAGTGTTTTGTACAGAATAGAAACATTTCTTTAGAATCTTATGGAATAATTAAGTACATTTTAAAGCTGTCAGGTTGCATAAATGTAGTTTTATCCCATGACTGCATTCTGAGGCACACTTGTCATTTTATAAACTGAGTTCCAGCAGTATTCCTCACCTAAATATTAGGGCATTATGCTACAGGAAATAAATTGTCAAACACTAAGTGAAATAATAAAAATGTAACTGGAATATAGATTGTTAAAAGATAATTTTCTAATTTTTAAATTTTCTTTCAGAGAGACACATCTCAATTCAGAGGCAGCTTGCTGATCTAGAGAAGTTAGCTTTTGTAACTGAAGGGGATTTTGACTCTTCTAGTTCATTGAACTCAGATCATCTTGATGCAGGTATTTCCATGTTTGTATGTGTGTATGTTTTCTTAATTTCTAATTTGTTATCTTTCAATGCATGAAATATTTGCTAGAAATAGACTTGTATATTCTATTGAACTAGAGCAGCAGTAAGTATTTTTATGCATGAAACTGATAGTCATCTCTATGCAGAGGTTCTGTGTGATCAGTTACTTCACAATTCAGGGAAATTACAGTCTCATCTTATATAATAAAAGCATAGTATGCAAATTGTCCCCTAATCCAGGAGTTCCCCTGGGAGTTTGACCAGGGACGGGGCCAGTCTGGGGAAAGGAGGGAGTACCCAGCAGGCGGAAGCCACTAGGGACCTTATCAGTGCCCGAAGGGTGTGTGTATCCTATGTGTATTTCTATTGCATTCAGCTATGAGTAACAAAAAAAATTGCCTTAAAAAATATGGAGGCTTACATTCTCTCATGTAAAATAAGTATCAAGATAAGCAATCCAGGGCTGATACGAGAGTTCCACGACACTGTCAATGCCCTAAGCTCCTCTCTTTCTGATTTGCCCTCCTTAGTGCTTGGATTCCATCCTTAAGATCAACTCCTGGTGTTTTGAAGTAGGCCCAGTATTAAAAAAATAAACTGTATCTATACTGGCAGTGTGCTATATGTGAAAGGTATTCGTTGGATTAAAATTTATTAAGTGGGTATTAACTGTTTCTGTATATTTTTATTGCTTTAAATTTGAACTTAAGGTTTTAATTCTTTGATATACTATCAATGTTTTCATTTGAGATACATTTCTAATTAAATAAGACTTTTATTTTGATAATACAAAATCTTTTCAAGGAGGTACTAATAAAGAAGGAAGATCTCACAAATTCAATAGTAGGGTACAGTGTTTCTAATCATGGCCTCTAGTCTCAGAATACCAATCATGTCAAACTCCTTTGAGTTTTTTCTTCCACTTTTCTAACTCCACATGATAACTGTTTTTGTTGCTGCCACAGCAGAATGCCACAGCAGCTACTTACTCTCTCTGCCCAGCTCCTGCCCCTCTGGGGGTGTGACAGCTGCTGCCTTTTCCCCTGTTCAAAGTACAGAGTGACTCTGCCCGGCATTTTGGCTGGAAGAATGTATAGGTTATCATTCTTCATC